TGATATGAATGAGTGTGCCAAATACAGAAACCTTTGTCGTAGTTACCTCGTGGACACTATGGATATATTAAACAAAGCGGGGCTCTCTGATTTGCAAAATATTCAAGAAAATTTACATCATGTTCAGGGCTGTTTAGTAGCATCGAGTTGCATTATATGGATCATGAGTGACAATATTGGCTCAAATTCCCTTCTAGTTGGTGAATATGTTGTTGAAATTGCAAATCTAGTTTACTTGATTGTGAATTCGGTCTTGGTATCTGTGTTAGACGTTCAGAATAAAGATAATGTTTTAGATATAGCTTGGGTGACAAGAATTGTCTCAGAAGTGGCATCATTATTAAAACAACTTGGACGATTGAATTCAAAATTGAGTTTAGAAGAAGAAGCGCTCACAAAGCTAGAGCTTACCTGTATTCAATTGATTTTTGAGGAGACATTTACCCACGGAAGATTGACCTTGTTCCCCATTGATCCACTTCGGTATTCGGCAGCATTATTTATTATTGATGTTTACGAATTTTCAACTACACAAAGATCTTTCTTGTTAAATGAATTGATAGTTAATTTTTTACGTTTGCCGGTCAAGAAAATGGATGTTAGGAACTACCAAATAGAAAGAGGAAATAAGATTATGTTATATTCAATGATTTGTATCAGAATTTGTCAGGTGAAGGATGGCACTGCTGAGCGTCTCAGTTCAGGATTAATACAGCGAGTAGTGGAAAAGTTTGATTCAACATCTAAATCCTTGTTTGAATATTTGATTGAGGACTTGAATTTGATGTTGCCGTATCCAGAATGGGCGGGTTCTTTATTGCTTTTGAAAGTATTGGTTGAGCAAGTCCTCGACACCTTGTTGACTAAAGAGAATGCTCCACCAACAGAAGTGTATTTTCTCGATGTATTGGGAAATACTTGCAAGAATGTTCTTGTGTTGAAGAATTCGACATCAGTCACGGACAAAGCAGAAGTTCTATTGGATTGTTCCAGATATGGCGGTTCACGCGAGCTGGAATACATGGAAGAGCTTCTTCTGGAGCATAACACTGACAAGTTTTGCTATACTCTACAGTTGTTAAAAGAATTAGATGGTTTTTGCTCTGTGTTTTTAACGTCCCTAGTGCATTTTCTAGAAAGTCCAAAGATTAAAATTAAAACAAAGACGGTAAAAATTCTTGCAATGTTATCTGAATATCATCCTAGTTTATTGTCTTCAACTGCCTTACAACAGTCATTATCGGCACGGTTGTGTGATGAGGCAACTCTGGTAAGAGATGCAGTCTATGAATTTCTTGGAAAGTATATCAGATCACATCCTTATGAGGCCGATAAATATTGCAGTCAATTGTGCAATGCATTGAGTGATGAAGGTATTTCTGTAAGGAAGAAAGCTATTAGGTTGAGCAAGGATATATATCCCATGTTTGGTACAGAAGCAAAAATATCCATTGGCACAAGGTTATTGAAACGATTAAATGACGAAGAAGACAATATCAAGAACGAATCGGTATATATGATGATGGAATGTTGGATAACTCCTTTGGGTAATAGTGACAAGTCTAGATTGGCTGTTCAAGAGCTAATTAACCTTGCCACTTCTCATCATAAAACCTTGGAGAATCTTGAACTATTCTTAGAGTCGTATGTATTCAAGAAACCTGATGCCCTGAAATTAACTGACTGTCTTATGGAGACTCTTTTGGATTTTGTGGCTGAAGATTCAAATTCTAAAGAAGGGGCATTATTATTGCTTTCAATTTGCAGTAAATGCAAGCCAGAGTTGATGGGGCAAAACAAACTCATAGCGTTGCAGCCATATTTGGTAGATGAGAATAATTGTTCAACTAAATCCTACCGGTTTGCTTTGGGAGTTTTAAAGAATGTTTTACCTACTGTTACAGCACTCCGACCGGATTTCATCAATCCCGTACAAAGTTTCTTGCTTAGAAAGTTGACTAGATTCTCGAATAAGGAACTACATGAAGCTGTTCCAAGTTTATGGCAATTCTGCAAAATCAAGAAAGATTTCCTGAAAATGGTGAATGCTGCTATTTCCACAATAAAAATGATGCGAAAGTATCTTGATAACCAAGACTTGAAGCGAGACAATAGACTTGCAAAACTATTACAACTATTGTCCAACTTGATTAATCATTGTGAATTGGAAAAACATCGAGAGGCATTTTTGAATGCGAATATTGGGTTGAAGCAAAATGAACCAGTAGTATCATTGGCTGTTAAATACATTTCAAGTTTTTGCCAGTCAAGTAATCCACTGTCGGTGGAAATTATTGCCGTGAGCAGTCTTCTTGTCACCTGTACAAACTATCCTCGGATATTAATGTCACCTCCGGTGCTTGCAATTTTTGATGACGCGTTGAGTTGTTCCACTCCTGAAATGATCAAGTCTGTCATCCAATCTATGATAGTTTTCTTGCGTGAGAAGGATAGACCAACTAGCTCGTCTAAATCCAGTTTGGAAGACATTATCGATGACGCATGTCCAGGAATCGTGCAAAGATATATCAATAGAATCTTATTGTTGAGTCTTTCGGATAAGGGCGAATACTCATATTTGCCATTCCAGTTTGTTCAAGTGGCATTGGAATTGGGGTTTGCCAATCCAAAGATATGTATGCCTACAGTAATGGCATTGGAAGCTTCTCCGGTTGTGATAATACAGTCGTCCGCAATTAATATGCACAAAGAATTGTTTGAAAAACACGAATCCTTGGTGGATTCCAGTTATCAAGAAGGTATTAGATTGGCATTTGATAACCAGCTTATGAGTGTTCTGTTTTTCAAGGTTGTGCATGAGATTGTGCAAGTATCCAGAAGCTCCAGGAATAGGTTTATTCAAGCAATTTGCAAATCTATGAGTTTAGACAAGATTTCCTTTTTGCTATTTTGTATTGAGAGAGTACTGATGATGAGTTTCAAAAGCATGGAAGAGATACTTATCATTTTGACTGAATTACAGGATAATGTTCACAGTGTTGATCCGGATTCTATTGAGTACAATCATGCGCTAGCTGCATGTGCAATGATCGAGTTGTATCGTCATTTAACAAGTGTTTATAAAATATCAGATGACCAAGTTGAATCCTTCGGTACCGGGGCTTTTGAAGTTGATCAAAAACATACACCGAAAGAGGTGAGACATGCTGCATTATCGTTGGAATGGTATCACAGAAAAATTAACGACGCTAGTAACATGGAGCAATGTATAGAAAATATAAAGGAGTTTACGTAATGTATAAATGTGATTCAGAGCCTAGCTCCGATTCAGCCAGTTTTTCAAACTTACAGGTAATTGATAACCATTACGGAATGTAGGAAGATCGTCAAACTCGCCACCAAAGAGCATTGTACCCACTGTTTTAAAATCAATCTCTGATACATCTTCCAAATCCTCCAACCTAACCTTGGAAGTGATCCTTGGTCTTTTCTGTTTACGTTCCTCTATAGGTTCATCAAACCCTTCAGAGTCTTCAAAGTCGGATGTGATTTCTTCTTCTTTCCTTTCCTCTTCTTTTTCTTCTTCCTTCACCTGCGCATCGTGTTGATTTGTTGTTTCTTTTACTATTTCCGGGTCCTCCTTGTATATCTGGCTTCTTAGGTTTCGCATCGAACTATCCTGTGAATTTCTATCTACGATTTCCGGTGGAGCAAGAGGATCAATAACCAAGCAGTATTTGTCATTAAGATTGAGCCTAACAATAGGTCCAATTCTTTGTCGTCTTTCCCATTCTCGATGCTGTCTCAATTGTTGAATAGGGATCTCATATTCGGGATCAGATTCGTCATCGCCATAGTCAACATGACTCTTCACATCAGTATTAAATATATCCTGTCGTCTTCTCCAAAGATCGTGTTTTCTTAACAATCTTTCGATTTCAGTAATTGTTAGGTCACGCTTTCTTTCCATCTCTTGGTAATCTTTGACATCCTTGATCGATGTTATGTTTGGGAGTGCTTTGAACCAATGTAACTGATTAAGATCCTCTAAATGTGACTGTAGTGTATCCAATTCCCATAAGTTTTTGATCTTTTCTTCGTTTGTCATTTGCTTCTCATTTCTTCTCATCTTACGATGGAATATTTCATAATTGGAATCGGGTAATGGATCATTCTTCGGAGGTCTACGAGGAAGAACTCGCTCAATTTCTAAAACAGGCGATCTCACAGGTAAGTTGGGTAATTGTGAGCTGGTGTATCCAAAATGCTTATAAGGGGATTGACTAGAAGTAGTTTTGCTTGCAATTAAAATGGGCTTTCTTTTGTGCAAATATTCATTCACATTATCGAAATCAAACAAAGCTGCGTTATTGACTTTTGGTTTGACTGTGGTAGAACGTAGTTTTCGAGACGACGACGAGGATGTTGTTGTTGTTGGTGATACTTCAGTTTGTACATTCTTCTGCATTAAATTGTCTTCTTCTTGCTGGTGATGGTGATGTCGGCGTGGTTCCATTTTGGCCATAAATTTCAGAATAAAATCCAAAACAAGGTAGATCTTTATATTTTAAAAAAAAAAAAAAAAAAAAAAAAAACTTAAAAAAAAAAAAATAGAAAAATATCACAACTAATGCACGTCTCCATATGTTATCACCACGAAAAAAAAAAAATGGAAAATTATTAAAAGTTAAGAACACCCTGTGTAGTCTCAGAGCCTTCAGTTCATGATGATTAGAAGAAGAATAAACGACAACAGACAAGTGAATTCTGAACCAGAATACGAAAAAGAGAAATTGGATGCACCATTAATTAAATCGCGTCCTCTTAATTGGAAGTTATTACCAGTAATTGCCTTATTATGGATCGTCTTGGTTCATGTATTTGAAAGAACAGTCCCTGCTAGTGTCATATCAAAATGCTCTTGGGATAATTGGGAAGGTTGGAAATTTCCTGAATCGTCACATAGGATTGTTCTCATTGCAGATCCGCAAATTGTGGATGATTACTCTTATCCGAAACAATCCAGAATCCTTAATTTTTTCATCAAAAGATTAGCTGATAATTATCTTCATAGAAATTACGAATTGGTAAACTCCATCTTAGATCAAAATACAACCATATTTTTGGGTGATTTATTTGATGGTGGAAGATACTGGGACGATGATCAATGGTTGGAGGAGTTTAATAGATTTAATAGGGTATTCCCAAAGAAGGAAACCCGTTTAGATATTAGATCTATTCCAGGTAATCATGATATTGGGTTTCAAACAATTCACCCTCATGTCTTGAAACGTTTTGCAGAACATCACGGTCCTTCAAACGATTATATTGTTTTGGGTAACCACTCAATTGTCTTGTTTGATTCTATATCATTATCTCATCCTGATACTGAAATCAATTCCAAACTGGATGCATTTTTAAGTAACATCAATGAAATGATCACCAATGACTACCCAAGAATTTTACTTACCCATGTGCCTTTATACAGGTTCCCTGACACTCAATTGTGTGGTCCAAAGAGAGAAAAGAAAGATAAACCATTTCCATTACAAAGAGGCGACCAATACCAGACCGTTATAGAATATGACATTTCCAAAAGAATATTAAATACAATTAGACCACTGCTTATATTTGCCGGTGATGACCACGACTACTGTGACATCACACAGCCATATGAAAATAACGGCTTAGCTAGAGAAATAACAGCTAAATCTGCAGCTATGACGGGCGGTATTAAACATCCCGCATTCCAGTTGTTGTCTTTGAATACCAACGATAATGGCACAGAGACATTTAAAACAGAAATTTGCTACATGCCAAATGCTTTCCATGGTGTGTACGCTTACTTGGCATTCTTGATTATCTCCAGTATAATCCTTAAGAATTCAAAACTTATTCTTTTGAATGTTTTGTTTGGCTTGTTTATAGTAGATATGTATCATAGAACTATTTAAACTTGAAAAATCTATCTGCATAACTTGGATTGAAATCATCTCTTTTGCTGATGTATTGACGAACGTTGTAAGGTTTCATTTGAGCTAATTGTCCCTCTGTGACTAAGGAGTTAACCAAGTCAGCCTGTACTGTAAACAAGTTACCAATTTCTTTCAAAATCTGGAATTGTTCAGATAACTCAGGGATATTCCATTCATCAATAACACTCTGGTAACGCAATACATCCTTTGTCAATACAATCCCACCAATTGAATTGACAGTGAATTTCTTGTAATGTTCCAACAATTGGTGCAAAACTTCCATACCAATTTTTATTAATATTTTTTCTAGATTGGCACCATTCATCGCTTTCAGTATATTGGCATGTACTTCGACAAGGAAATTACTTACTAGTTCACAAGCTTCAGTATCTTCTTCAATGTTGCTACAATTAAAATCTTTCTTCTTTTGCTTACTTAACAATGCTTGTAATTTGTTTTTAAATTGTTCCAACGTATCCTTGAGAATGATATTCAATGATGTTTCACATTGAGCAACAAAGCCGTTGACCAAATTACTCATTCTGGTTTTAATACTTGGTGTGTTTCTTGCTATTGGTAATATAATTCTTTTGATACACGAAGACATTAAAAACAACAACTCACTAATCGTGCTAAATGAACTCAAATAATCCAAGTTGCTAATCCTTTTGGATTCATCATAAACAACCTCTAGTCCACCACCAATGTAAAGTTTACCAAAATCAATTATTAATATTTCCAAGATTTCCAATGCACATTCAGGTGCTTTACTATTGCTGACCAACTCTAATCTCGCAACCGATTCAATAACACTTTTCAAAACGGTCTCCACGTGAGCAACGTCAAGTGATCTGAATTCATTCATAACGAGTTCAGAGTCTGAACTTCTTGATCCAGAACGCTCCTTAAGCTTGGCAGTCACGTACTCTTTAAACTGATTCATTCTCTTTCGTTCAGAAGCAAAACTAAATCGATCATTCTCTGGCTTTTGTGTAGTGTACTCCATATTATCCATGTTTTCCAACCTAATGGCCAAACTTCTGTTCGTTATTACGCTTTCATTTGCAGTATTAAACTGGTGCACAATTCCATAAACAACTTCTTCAAGGTTTTTCTTTTCACGACTGAAATAAACATTGTCACCAGTGTATTCAATGAACAAGTCAGAATAAGATTGGTCAAGGATGGCAGCAAGATCTTGATCTTTGTCAAACTCTTCTGTGGTTAAAAAGTCTTTAATTTCGGAAGTAAAATCACCAACTATTGTTGATAAGCTATGCAATACTCTAACGTGAGCCAAGAAACTGACCGTCAAGGATTTCTGCAATAAAACAGTCACTTTGTTTCTAATAATCTGAGCATAAATTCTTTGTATGAAAATCTTTATCACTGGAATTGGATCAGCAAAAACTTTTCTACTAATTCTGGCCCTCGATTTGATTTCAAATTTTAAATTATCAAAAGTCTCTTGTACATCAAGTTTAAAATTCCCATTATTAGGATCAGATAAGAGTTTCCATTCAGTTTCGTCCAATGTTTGTTCTTCTTCCTGGAGTACGATATCATTTTTTATAACAAAAGTCTGGATGACATTTATTCCTTCATTGTACTCAAACAATATTTGGGCAATTTCATTCATCATTTCAAAATCTATATCATTCTCATCTTCTGATGCAATTTCAAACTTTCTTAATAATTCTTTCTCCATTGTGTCTCCAAATTGTTCAATAGTAGTAATGCACTTCATTGACTTGGGCAGCTTCTCTTCCGCAACTTTTTTTGACAAGTTTATCAAATTTCTTACAGTCTTTGCACACTTTAGTTTATCTTCCATGTTTCTACTTGTTCTTAATGTTTCCAATGGCAAATATTGTTCTTTGGTAAAAAATCCATGATATGCTCTAATCAAGAAAATTGTTTCCAATGATCTATCTCGTGAATTAGTAATCTTACTTAATGTGTTCCCCAATGGATTAATTTTACTAGACACATCCAGGATCTGATTATCCAACAAATCGAATTTCTCGGTTGCTTGATCTATTTCATTATTCAACTCCAAAACATTCTCGGAATGTTTCAATTCATATGAATCAACCAGTCTTTCGTTCTTAACTCTTTCATCATTCGCATCAATCTGTAATTGTTTCAATTCTCGTAATGTACTCTCAAAAGTTCTGATGTACGGCTTAGGATCAAGATATGCTTTGTTGTTGACTTCGGCCCCTTTAAGGAAATGATCCTTACTGATCTCTTCAATGAACTCATTAACTGACTTTCCACAAAGAAAATCATCAATTGTTAATAGTTTCTTGATATTCTCATCCAATTCATATATAGAGAAACTCATTATCGATCCCCTAATTAAAAATCTAGTAGTCTATGAGTAAAGTGTAAGGTGTGGTCGGATGTTGATAGTGGAAGAACAACAGAACAACAGAAAAAAAAAATGAAGCGAGTATGTAAAAGAAAGTCTCACACATGTCGTAATGACGAAAAAAAGAAAAACGACATACAATCTACAGCTTAATGTTCAACACTAATTTTAAAAAGGTACAATTAAAGAAAATACATTAATACTATAAACAGATATAAATATTCAAACTTTAATCATCACAATTAGTTGGCTTTCAAGGTCAAGTGACATTTACCACAGTATTGTCTGTCTTTCATGTTAGCCATGAAGATACCGGCACCACAGGTTGGAGCTGGACATTCTCTTCTCAATCTTTCAACGTTACCTTCGTTGTCGACTTTGTAGTAGGTCAAAACAGCCAACTTGTGTTTTCTGTGCTTGTGCTTGATCTTCTTTGGAGTGGTGTAAACCTTCTTCTTTCTCTTCTTACCACCACCTCTCAATCTCAAGACCAAGTGCAAGGTAGATTCCTTTTGGATGTTGTAGTCAGACAAAGTTCTACCATCTTCCAATTGTTTACCAGCAAAGATCAATCTTTGTTGATCTGGTGGAATACCTTCTTTGTCTTGGATTTTAGATTTGACATTGTCAATGGTGTCGGAGGATTCGACTTCCAAGGTAATAGTTTTACCAGTTAAGGTCTTGACGAAAATTTGCATCTTTAATGGCTTGTCGGCAAATAACTATGCTTCTTTCTTACCAAAAGTTGGGATAGTTCGAAAAAAAAAATATCAAAATCAAAAAAAAAAGTGCAAGTAGCAGTTGTACTTTAAGAAAATTGCAATGGCAATGAGACTGTAGCTCAAAGGCGAAAAAAAAAAATTTTTTTCTCACTATTCTCACAAAACTGTATAAGCAACAAAAATTTGTGTGTATCACGTGTATGGGATTAGGGTTCCGAAGCCCTAACCCAAGAAACTTTTATGGCGAAAGTAATTTCTTAGGGGTTTTGGAAGTTGTAGTTATAGTTAATTGTGACACTGTAGTTATCATTTGTAAGAGAGCGGTTAAGTACTGCAATATTATATCTTTACTTACTTTGAGGGTTTTTATGTTGTCGTATGTGGGTTATATTATAGTATTATGATGAACATACTTAGTTGCAAAATTTATGCTGATATTTCCACGAAAATTATTTGAAAATTAGTCTTCAAAGTGGGGCAATAAAGAGATTCGCGCAATTTTTCCGATTAATGATAAGAAATGGTTATCACGATAGTATTAACTTTTAATGTGATGGATTCAATAATGAGAGTAATAAATGGATGATTTTATAAAACTTACAAACAGACAAGATATGTTTCAAACCATGTTATATATTGCATAATAAGCAACAATGATTCGTTAGTTTCTAGGTTGCGGTGGATCATGCAATCTCCGAAACTAAAGGAGAAAGAAAAAAAAAAAAGGGAAAAATATTATCAGCATCAGTGGTGGGAAATAGAGAAAACAAAAAAAAAAACGGAGGATCGTCGCAAATATGGAAATTTGATGTTCCAATTGTATAATACCGGGATTCCAACCATTATAAAAACTACAATTAAGAAACAGAACCACGTTCTAATTTATAATTCCAATTTATCTCCTTTTATAGAGTATTACACCCATGTCGTCAAACTTGACAGGATCCACTGCTGTTTCCGATCCAGAGCATAGGATTGGAGATAGTGTGTTGCAGAATCGAAAAGAGGTCATCCCATCAGAAACACCACGTTTTAAAAGACGCTTGACTTATCCTGAACTTCGATTTGATGATCCCGATTTAAATGAGATTGTATATGGAGAGAAACAAGCAAAAGAAAGTAAATTTAAACGATTCCTTAAGATAATTCTATGTCAGGCCTAAATATCCAAATCCGATTCATAGTCATCATCATCATGGTCGGCATTGATGCTGGTGCTAATAGTTGTTCTGTTGATTGATTTCCTTTGAATTATATTCAAATTATATAAATAATGTTCTAATTTGTCATATGTCAATGAGTTTCCTAACTTTTCAAACCCAACCAATCTATCATATTCGCTTCCAGACTTATAAGCAATTACACAAGGCAAAACTTTCAAATTTAGCTTAGATACCAAAAAGGGACAGTTCTCAACAGTTATAGTGAAAATAGGTAATAGCGGGAAATTCTGAGCTAATAGATTTAAAACTTGATTCATCTTTATACAATTTTTGAATTCAGGTTGATAGAAATGTACTAAACAATCCTTGCGTTGTACTATCTGATCCATTAATTCCTTTTCATTGGTGAACTCTTGTAAACTACCCACAGACTCTAGTTGATTAATAGATTTAAATTCTTGTGATAATTGTTGTATTCTTGATTCTCTATATTTGGACAAGTCTTCGTCCATTTCATTCTCTAACGATGCAAATAATTCATCTTCATCTTCGGAATTTTCCTCTCTGTTTATTTTTGACGACTGATACTTCTCCAAAGTTTTGATATCTTCCAGATTCATAATGTTATTCCTATCTGTGGGTTGAAAAAAAAAAAGACAAAAGCAAAAAACAAACTGTTATGAAAAAAACAAAAAAAAAAAAAATTCGGGTGCTTCGAGTAAAAACAAAAAAAAAAAAAAAAAAAAATAGTAGGTTCAACACAAGAACCGTCAACGCGTTTCATGGATAGCTACTTACGCTTGTGGAATTCATTTTAATTTATCCATCAATTCATAGATTATTTTGATGTTAGACTTGATTCTTTGTATGTTCTTTGGATCTTTGGATACTTCTATGAGTTTGACCAAATTATCATTGATTTCTTGCACTGTGGCTGAGATCATGGTCAATTCCATTAGTATTTGTTGTTGCTCAACATTCTCTTGATCTTCAGGTGTAGTAATCAATGAGGACGGAGGCATATTATAGTGGCTTTAAACAATTGACAGGTAGAATGAAACCAAGTACGAGTATTATAACTAAAAACAATCAAAGAAAGAAAGAAAAACAAATCAGAGAAATTACATTTCAATTATGGAGATGTGAGACACCTAAAAAAAAAAATGTAGTGTCCCTACCAAGATCGAGTAGGAATCATATATATTTGAATGTCTATTAAAAATGCCCTATATTCCTCTATTTCTTTTACATCAACACTCATGTCTTCGTTTTTTCTTTAAAACAGTATTCTCAGTTTCTCTTTCTTTAAGTAAATCTGCAACAAGTTTCTTTAATTCTTCATTTTCTTGAATCAATTCCATTTTGATTTTTTCATTATCGTTAAATTTTTGTAACAAGTAGTTGAATTCCTTACATAACTTCAAGTAAGTAGTCTTCAAAGTACTATACAACCCCATTGTCCTTGAGTTATCAATCATCAAATTCTTAACATGACTGACTGTATCTAGATTAATCTTTGTTTCTGGTTCTATTGGTGTACTATTACTAGTAGTAGTTTCGACTGGGGAACAGGCCGAGACCAGTGACGCCGACATAGGAGTCATTGCCATGATTTTATTGATCTCTTCTTCTATATCAAAATTAAAGTCATCATCAGTATTGAAATTAAAATCGTTATATTCTATTGGTTCTTGTTTCAAAAGCATGAAGGGGAGGGGGTGGGGGAATGCTGTATGTGATGAAATTAAATGCAAAAAAGAAAATAAATAAATCAATATAAAATCAATTTTTTTTTAAAAAAAGTATATGCAAGAAAGGAAATAAATTTAATTAGAAGGTTGAAATGCAAATAATGCAAGAATCGAATGTGTTGTATAAAGTGTGGTAGGTCTATGTGAATCAAAGGGTCAAGATGAGAGCGATGGGTGGTGAAAAAAATATTTGGCACTGTAGCCGAGAACGAGATGAGAAGATGTGCAACTTTGCCCATAATAATAACAGAAAATTAATAAACCACAGGTGAAAACAGTCTTTACAATTATTTCCAATATGCTTTAGACGATAATGTGATTAAGGAAAAAAAAAAAAAACCCATTACATGATTAGAACTATAACAAGATTCAACATATATAACAAATCTCATACATACACACATATATACATAAATAAATAAATAATTAATTAATTGAAATGGACTATTTACAGATAGATGCAAAAAAGGGAATGTATCATAAACCAATACGAATTAACGAATGAATGCATAAGGATAAAAACCAATCTAAAGAACTCCACTAATGCCAAACAGAACTAAATAACAAAAAATAAAATAAATGAAAAAAAAAAATTTAATGTGAATAAAAAATGAATCATTAACCAAATACTTTTGCAACTCTAGGAATCTTTATACTATTTTCTTAACTTCTTGTAAGATGGTACTGTTTTCAAAAATTCCATTCTCCTCCCATTTTGAAGTCAACTTATTCAAAACACTTTCAAAAGCTTCCTTACCGGTTTTTGCATTCTGACCAAATCTTTCTACTGACCAGTCCTCCAACTTATCACACAATTTGGATAACGAAGCAAAAGCAGTGATCTCTGCACTTTGCAAAAATGTTGTTCTATTCAATGGGAGTTCTTCATCTGGCTTGTAAATAACAGTCTCTTTCACCAACAAAAGATTACTCATGGTCAAGTTCATGGATTTCATCACCAAAGTCTTACTTATCAAATCCACTTCACTTACTTCTCTAACATAACTGACTGTGGCACCTCCTACTATGAAGGATAACCATCTTGGGATTGGTTGCTTACAACCAATCAATCTCTCTGTTCTTAACGTCTGGTTGTTGTTGATTAGTTGTCTATCCAAGATATCCACCGATATCACATGGGTGGATAATTCATTTGGGTATTTTTGCCAGTTTGCTGCAGTAACTTGATCCCATGGATAATTAAAAAAATGTTCACTTTCAAATAACTTCATCGCTATATCAAATAATTTGTGTGTATGGAATAAATAAAAATAATTTATAAACAAGCGGGAAATTAAAAATTGGATACAATTTTCAAATCCCAATGTGTGTTTAAGAGATTCCTCATTCCTTATATACTAACTGGGAGGATGAAAAAAAAAAGAAAAAAAAAAGAAAAAAAAAACCTTTTCCGAACCTTTCCTGTGAAGTGTGCAGGAAAATGTGGGATTATTTTCTTTTCCCGGTATTTATTATTTATCGATTGGTTTCACAAGATTATTGAATACATGATAAATTAGAACCAACTAGAATTTCCTTCTTAATTACTGTCAATTATCTCAGCAGTATTCCGTGTCTACCGTATAGGGATGTCAATTTCTTTTTAGAACTGTAAGACCCCACGAAATGAAAGTCAAATGGTTGACTCGGAAGTACGCAATCAATCGTCCATTAAGGTTACAAAAAAGTCCCAATCAATGAAGTCAACCACTCTGCATCGCGTGCCACTAATCCTGCGTCACTATTTTTTCTCTTTCATTTTTTTTTTACGGCCGTCCTCCCGCGCAACTTTGCTGTTGTTGCTTGTATTGTCTCTCATAGAACCAACCAGAACTTTGAGAAATAAAATCGAAAGACAAGAATGCACGTGATTTTTTTCTCCACCTTTTAACTTATCAGAGAGACATAAGAAGTATTGTCTATGTATTATCAGAACTCTATGGACTATTTATTATGAATAATTTTTTTTTTTTGTATTTTTTTTTTTGTTTAATCACTTTCATCACTTGAACTATCACTGGAACTACTTTCATCTTCACTACTACTATCATCACCGCCACCAAACACTTTTGCTAATTTTGATCCAGGTTTCTTTTGTGGTGAAATTGTTTGAGTGGATACTTTTCTCTCCACGGTAGTATTTGGCTGTCTCAAATCTTGTAATGATGGTAATCTGCCCTTTTGTTGGAATGCAGGCTTCTGTTTAACTTCCGGTTTGGAAGGAGTTTCCTCCTCTAACTGGGCCGCAATTCTTTTTGCAGCATCTTCTATGAACTTACTACTTGGTGTTCTTGCAGCAGAAGGTTTAGTAATTCTATGTGCTGGCATTGTTCTTACTGTAGATGGTGTTTTGACCACCAATTTATTTGGTTTGGTACTTTCGGAAGAACTATCACCATCTTCGTCATCACTGGAACTATCATCAGATGAATCCTCTGAGGAACTGCTGTCGCTACTCGAACTTTCTTTCTTTGTAAACTTCCTTGGGGTTATAACTGGTTTGGAAATAGTTCTTTTCACCATAGGAGTTTTAACAGCTATAGGAACACTTTTCTTTTCTTTCTCTTCTTCTTCTTCTTCTTCTTCTTCTGTGGAACTGTGACTTTCATCACTGGAGCTATCACTTGAGCTGTCACTCTCATCACTGTCGTCATTGGAGCTTTCCTTTTGACTAGAACTCTTATCCTGATTAGGTTTTCTTGGTGTAACAACAGATTCTACTTTACCAGTTGAAGTGACCAGCTGATTAGCATTTGCTTTGTTTTTCACTACTTGAATGTCCTTTTCATCTTGACTAGAACTGCTTTCATCACTCGAGCTATCGTCGTCACTTGAACTATCGTCGTCACTTGAACTACTTTCTTCGGAAGAGTTTGAACTGGCACTCGAGCTTTCCTCTTCACTGGAAGTCTTGATTTTAGTTAATGCAGGTTTGGAAATAGCAGCTGGTGAACTCTTTTTTGGTTCTGCAGGTTTATAGAAGACAGACGGATCTATCACATTTTTACGAATACTTGATGCCTTGCTTACTACAGGCTTTGTTTCCTCTTTTGATACTTGTTTCTTTTTGATAAGTGGTTCATCGTCACTTGACAGTTCGTCGCTTGAATCATCACTTTCACTATCACTAGAATCTGATTCATGTCTTCCTTTGAATAGATTCGTTTTGACCGGGCTGGAAATGCTTCTTTTAGCAAGTGGTGTCTTTTTTGCTGACTGCACAATACTTGGAAGCCTCTTGAAGATCGGAGAAGTTGAAATCTTTTTCACTTCAGATGCCAGTGGTGATGATCCAACAACTGGTTTTACAAGTGCCTTATTTTTCACAACATTATTTGAAGTATTTTTCTCTTGAGTGGTCTTAAGCTTATCATCTTCTTTATCATCCATATCAGAGTCATCGTCACTACCTTTCATATCTTCATCTTCGGAATAATCATCACTACTATGAACAAATTCTTCACTTAACTGAGGCTTTGTAGATGATGCTGGCCTGATATTAAATGCTGGCTTTGGTTTTGTAAGAATTGGTGAAGGAACAGGTGATGTTTTTGCTGCCTGTGCAGCCGCCCTGGATACTGACTCAAGGATAGATAACACTCTTGGATTGGATTTTCTTGCAGAACTACCTGCTTTAACTTTATTGATTTTTGATGAGGAGACTTCTGGAGTTGATTCAGCAGATTTTTCCTTCGATTTTGAACTGACTGATTTTTTCAAGTTTGTTGCTGATGACGCTTTTGCAGTTGTTTTGGTGCTTGACTCAGAAGTATTGGTTGAGCTTTTAAGACCCAGAGGCACTGAAGAAGAAGTAGCTTGAGCAGCAACAACCTTAGCAGGGGTAGCTTTAGCAGCAACAACCTTAGCAGGGGTAGCTTTAGCAGCAACAACCTTAGCAGGAGTAGCTTTAGCAGGAGTAGCTTTAGCAGGAGTAGCTTTAGCGGGAGTAGCTTTAGCAGGAGTAGCTTTAGCAGGAGTAGCTTTAGCAGGAGTAGCTTTAGCAGGAGTAGCTTTAGCAGGAGTAGCTTTAGCAGGAGTAGCTTTAGCAGGAGTAGCTTTAGCAGGAGTGACCTTAACAGGAGTGACTTTAACAGGAGTGACTTTAACAGGAGTGACCTTAACAGGAGTTACCGTAGTAGACTCATTGATCATTTTCTTTGGCGTTCTTTGAGAAAGAGGTTCATCGTCCGAAGATTCCTCATCAGAAGAATCAGAATATTCAGTACTAGAACCACCCGATTCACTTTCGGACTCGCTTGAAGTTTCACTATCAGAAGTACTATCAACATCTATCAGATCAACAGCATTGGTCCTAGATGGGGAAGATAACACCTCCGGTTTAGATTCAACTTCTTTAGCGTCGTCTTCAGAGTCACTTGAACTCTCTTCATTATTTTCTGAGATCACTTCTTCTGAATTTTCTTCGTCAACTTCATCTGTTTCAATTGGGGTTTCTTGAGTCTCCATGGTTGGTTCTTTATCCTCTTCACTTTCTGAATAATCCGTAGAATCAACGTTACGTTTGTCCACAATAGCCAATTTTGTAGAAGAATCAGCATCTACTTGAGAACCATTACCGACAATGTTCTTGATATATTGTTCTTTATCTTCTTCACCATCTCGGTTTGTGATCCCAGTATCCTGTGCCTCTGAAATCTCTTCTACAACAGGACTTTCCATATCATCCATGTCTGGAATTTCAACATCTTCATTGTGGTTTTCTTTTATATTGTTTTCTTTTGAAGGAACAGCAATTGTACTTGTAATATCTGAATCGATTTTAGATTTTCCATTTTCAGTGTCACTTTGAGTTGAATGATCATCATTCTCATCGGATTCACTATCTCTATGTTGATCAGCATCAGCATCAGCATCTTCATCACTACTGTTATAAGTTCTTCCCAATTTAATGTGCTTTGGCAAAGAAAAAGTAAAGCTACTTGCCGGTCTCGGAGTGTTACTATTGCTGCCAATTTGAATACGCAGTTTGTTTGTCAAAGATGAAGGAGTAGAAATTTTTTGGGATGTTGCTAATCCTGCGGGTGGCTGAATTACATTATTGACTTCAACAGGGACAGTATTCTTACCGACAATAACATTCATTCCATTTGAGTTATCTGGCAAACTACTATTAACCGGTGGTGTTTGTTGTTGTGGTAATACAGTTTTGTACGACACAAAGCCCAGCTGTTGTTGATGAGCATCTGACGCTGCTGCTGATGGGACTAACGGCATAGCACCAGAAACTGGATACAGTGGCACATTCTGGGGCAATACAGGATGAAAAGTAGCAGCAAGCCCGATACTAGGACTATTTTGACTTATACTTGGGCTTCGTTTGTTTCTTGGTGGTACTGCAGCTCTGGCAGCAATTACTGCATTGTAGGAATTCTCGGTTTCTTGACCTCCATCTGATCGAGCATTATTTCTCGTAACATCTCTACTTTGATCACCGTCACGAGTAATTGATGATGATGATGATGATGATGATGTAGTTGTACTTATTTGTTGTCTTGTCAAGTCTTGTTTAGAAGAATCAGTGGTTGGTGTGTTACCATTCAAGAGAGTAGCATTAGCACTGGAATGAGGAGTGTATTTAGTTCTCTTGATCTTAGTTGTAAATGAATCGTTACCCAATTCCTCAGCTTCCTCATCGTCGTCATCGTCTGCTCCTTCATCGTCATCTTCAAAGGCACCAACAAAATTCAATTGATTTTGTTTTAAAGTTTGGATAATCTTTGATTTCTTAATAGTTTGAACCTCATCATTTGCAGTCGTCTTACGTTTACGTTGTGGTGTAGCAGGATTCGACTTTGAAATTGGTTTTCTAACTTGATGTGGTGAAATAGAACGTTCATCGGGTGCCTCCAATTCGACTTCAACATTTACATTACCATTGTGAAGAGCTCCAATAGTCAGTGAATACAATGTAGACTTTAAGTGCGACTTATCGATGGATCTCTTCAAACCAGAATTGATAGTCTGGAGATATTTGATCAATTCGTTTTGATTAGCAGGTAATGATTGTTCAGCTGGATCCTGAATATGGTATTGAAAGGTTCCTGGAGAATTTTGGCTTTGTAATTCATTGTATAAAATGCAAAATTTGAAATACAAGTTTTGGTCTTCTATGGCTGCTAAAATATCATTCACAAACACTTCGTTTACTTTTTGCCAATCCAATTGATGGTCTGGTGCAACATATTCTTTGAATTCATTCAACTTGTTCATTATTAGTATAATATCTATAATCTCGTAGTGATAGTCGTGAACATGATTCTCAACAAGCTCGATGTTATCAATGAAGAAGACTTCGGAGTGATACTTTATTCGTAGATCAGGTTCTGGGCCCACTTTAGTTCCTAATAAGTTAGAAATCCAAATACAGAAACTGTTAAACTTAAAATAAAGTGGATCAGTCAATAATTTTTGTATAAGCTTGTTGTAGTTGAGAAGCAAGTTTGGTACAATTTTTGTTGGTACTAACAACGATTTCATCCAGTTCTTCAAACCATAATCACTTGGAAATTTCATTCCATTACGTACATAGTACTTGTCAACAGATTTGTTTATATAGAATAACTCAATATTTGAAAATGTGCCTCTTATAAAACAATTGTTTTGTAATATCAATAAGATTTTTCTACCCTGTAATTGCAATTGAAAATTTATTCTTAGTAGGTAAATGTACAAGTGGTAGGGATTCATCAAACCGGTTGGAAAATAATTAAAATTATCATCTTTGACCGAGCTGATGATCAATGGGTCTAAGAAATCAGTTGCTGAAAGATTCCCCAGTAATGTAATAGTGATCATCTCCTGATCGACTGGTAAATTCAATTCATCCAAATAATAAACATCCTTGGATGTATATGAATTCTTCTGTTGAACAAGCTTTAATTGAGTTGGTATATCGATCTCTTCAACATTATTTTTAGTTACATCATATCTCTCAATAGCAGTGACCAATTTTTCTTGATTTACAGGTGAGATGGAATTCAAATTTGTTACCAAATCAAGAACATCATTGAGATCTGTTTCAGGATGATACAACTTAATTAGATATTCCAAAATCATGTAATAATTCAACTGATGAACTGAATTACGTCGGATTAATTTGCTTGACTTCACAATCAACTCCAAGGCATCCCTCGTCAACTCTGGAATCAAACTCTGAAAATAATTCCATGTTTTCTCCAATGAATAATTCAAGTCAATCGAAGAATGGTAATTATGATGCTCTAGTATGACTAGTTTAACGTCATCACCGATAGACAACATGGCAGAATGATAATATCAAAAAAGAAAGAAAGAAAACAAGAAAAAGAGAGGTTTTCTTTTCTTTTCTATTGCTTTGATTTGTTTGGTTTAGTGTATACCTAAAGTGATGATCTTGATTGTATTATTTTTCTTTTATTTTTTTTTTTTCCACTGTTTGTTCTTGATCTTTTTTTTTTTCTTCTTGCATCGGCAGCGTCGAAGGAGCGATGATGTTAATAAAATGACCTGTTTGTGTATTTATTCTTTTTTTCTCTACCTATTCAACCTAATGATGATATCTATGGATTTAATTATTTCTATGTAGCATAAATACATCAATACCGAGTTTTTTTGTACTTGTGTTGTATTTCTTTAAAGTTATTTCGAAGCTCAAGATATCCCATATGGATCTTTCCAACAAAATGATCTGCCAATCTTCTGTCATTGTCCAATCTCGACAAGTACGCCCCACACTCATCACACACTTGTAGCTTCTGTTGTGAGGTTTGACCAACATTTTCTGTAATTTTACGAGCTTGTTGACTGAGCTTTTCACGGTCCTGACATTTCTTATCCAACTCAATTGAATATTCTATGGCTTTGCTTGATTGATTTTTCTCAATTAAAAAGTTCAACTCCTGTACCATTAACCCAATTTCCACATCTAGGTCATCCAACTCTTTGGTCACCTTAGCAATTTTTTCCTTTTCCTCTTTTGTATGTTGTAAGCGAAGTTGGGCATTATGGATATTGCGGTCTAACTCAGAAACATATTGTGATAGTTGCTTGTAGTAATCATATTCTATATCAGGAAACTTTTCTCCTAACTTCTTGGTTCGATATTCATACTCCATTTTATGTTTCTGTAAATGTAGATTGGGACATTCACCGAGATCTTGTTTGGTTCCCACAAATAAGTCATGAGGACAAACTCCTACTAAAAATGCACGGCACACTCGAGGAGATGTCATCTCAACTTCCATACGTCTTATAAGAGATCCATGGTCTCTACCCATTAATTGTTCTATACGTTTTCGTTGTTCTTCAGCCATGTTTTGATAAGTGTTTATTACTTGCCATTGTAGATGTATTTTGAATTTTTTTTTTTTGATTATATTTTTATTTTCCATTCTCTTGAACACTCCGCTCCGCTCCCACGAAACTGGCCCTAGCTCTACGTCGAAAAATTTATTTTTTTTACCTCGATTAAATTACAAACCTTTAAGTCCTATACAATATTAACATGCTGGTATGCTTTTTGAAAGACTGACTTGCTCTTTGAACAGATCTTGATCTTTGATGAACTTATCTAGATTATTAGTCAACCAATTAAGTATCACAAGTAGACTATCACTACCAAAATCATATTCTCTGACATTTGCACTTATGTTTCTTTCATATGCCTTGTACGTTTTGATAATTTTTACCATCTCAAATTGATCTTGTTTACATAACCGAACAACAAGATTTTCATTGAAATTATTTTTGAAAGTTACATTCAAGGGAAGTACAGGGTAGCTTTCTGGAATATGCAACATAAGATCAATGCTTCCATTTTTTTTCCAAAGGTCTGGAACTGATTTTTGTAAGACGGGAATTGTAACTTTATAATTTTCATCTCTAAACAAGCGGACTGAGTCTTCTAACTTGAAACACATTTCATCAATTAATTTCTTTCTGTACTCTCTCATCTGCGGAGTAATACGAGGTTTTGGTTTCTCTTGTTGTTGCTGTTTCAACTCAGCCTTTGGTTTTGGTTTCGTCTTTGGTGTTTGTTGTTGTGGTTTTGACTTTTCTGGTTTCTTTTTGGTTTTGACAAATTTGATTGTATCTTTCTTTTCCTGTTTTAAAAATAATTCTAAATATTTATCCAAAGTCAAGATCATTGAAGTCAACCCTATCCCATCAACCAATTCAATTTCGTTATCCTTTATGATACCCTGTGCAATATCGACTATTCTTCCAAATCCAATTTCTATATTAACAGCAAATCCTCTAGGAATTTCATCGTTCAAAACAACAATTCGAGGTCTTTGTGATTTTTCTTCAGGGAATTTACTAGGAATAGTGAGGTTGATTTTCAATTTTTCCAAATCATACGGAAACTCTGGATCTGATGGTTTGATTATAAGGGACAAGTATATTGATGCATCAGGTTGGTGCTTTATAAATTCTAACAAGTATTTTTGCAAGTAGGACAAACGGGCATGGTTCTTGTAACATTTGAAATAATCAGGTTCAGCTGTTTCTTTATCCTTGACCTCCTTGATAATGGAACGTGCTGGAGAACCGTTAACAGTAACCGGCTTAAAAGTACGCATCAACTTAGAAATCTGGAGAAATCTAAGGGACTTTGTAGGATCATTGCTTCGACGACTCATTTTAATGTTTGCTCTTTTGGTGATACTGTTTCTTGGGTTATTTGTCTTTTCTGTTGCCTTTTTTATAGTGATTTTTTTTTTTTTTTTTTTTTTTTTTGTTTCGGTGTGTTTACCTTGCATGAGTGAGTAATCATTCTGACAATAAATAAACAATGAAATTAGAAATAGTCAAGCGTACATTCAACTATGCAGTGATCAACAAACCATCAGGATTAATCTGCGCCGCCAGGGGACCGAATAACATTGTTGATGCAGTTTCAGAGGAGTTCAAACAATTTCTTCCCACAGTTAGCTCATCGCAATTCAGAATTGTACAACGACTCGATAGATTTGTCACTGGGGGATTACTTATTGCTAGAAACAAAAAGTGGGCCGATAAAGTTCGCAAGTCATTCTATGGTGGTGGCAACCTAAAACTCATTAGAAGATATGTGGGTCTCATCCCTCTTACCAATATACCCAAGAAAACCAAAGGAGTTATTGAACACGAGATTGAGGCACTTGAAAAGGACTACCGGGGAAAACACGAGCCCAGAAAAGTGCTAAAGTATACTGCAAAGACACATTATCAGTTATTACCAGCTTTGGCACGGAAACTCGAAGGTGATTATCCCGTGTTTCAACAAAGCCAAGTTGTCCCGGCTATATTCCAGTTGGAAACCGGCAGAAAGAACCAAATCAGAGACCATGTGTTACAAGAGTTTGGAGTTACGTTATTAAATGACGACAACTTTGTTGATTTTAAGTTTAATTCGGAAGAGCCAAAGAATGTGAATAGTACGATCTTCAAAAACAACCAAATAGGGCTTCATTCGGGATTATTGATTATTGAAAACAATGGTGTTTCAGATGAAATACTTTTTCCTGTCAACGAAGTGAATGACAGAGAGTTGTGGAGTACATTTCTTAATGACAACGGAGAATTTATTAGCCCGATACGTAATGCTTTATTGAATTTTGATTATTAGGTATCACAAAACATTGTCTAGTAAGGTTTCATTTTTTATTCTATTAAAAATTTTTTTTTAAGAAAATTGTTTCATCATTTTGTTGTTTATTGGAATGATTAGGAAATGGATACAATAATTGGAATATAAATACGCTAGTTATAAATAGAGTAGATTTGCTTCTTGAATATCATGTAAATATAAATTTATCAATAGATACAGTTACAGCAGTATGCAATTAATCTTCTTCTTAGTCGGGTTGGTTGTCCCATTTATATCCGCATTGGTTTTAAATGCTGGTTCAAACTTTGATGATGATAATGACAGATCCGGTATTATTTCTTTGGATTTCCAAGTACATCAGGTTCCATCCAATCGTAAAAGAGGATTCTACCGCACACAAGATTTAATAAACCAACAAATTTATTACACGGCTGACATTTTTGTTGGGAGCAACAAGCAAAAACAATCGGTTTTGGTAGATACTGGATCATCCGATCTCTGGATTATTGATTCCAATAGCTGTAGTAGCATCACAGAACAGTGTAAAGAATCCGGTGTTTATAACCCAAGAACTTCCAAATCTTCAGTCAATCTTACTACTCCGTTTTCAATTCTGTATCTCGATCAATCATCTGCAGAAGGACACTGGTTCTTAGATAAAGTCAAGATAGCTGGTGCGACTATTAAAAACCAACAATTTGCTAATGCCCATACAATCACACAAGGTATAGGTGGTGACATTGTATGTGGAGGAACCCTTGGTCTTGGTTTCAAAGGTAATGAAGTAGCTGACACAGAATATGACAACGTGCCTATTACCTTGAAGAAACAGGGCTTCATCAAAAAAAGTGCATATTCCATTTATTTGAACTCTGTTTCTGCACAAAAAGGTTCTATCTTGTTTGGTGGCATTGATCATGCTAAGTATACAGGTGAATTAATTGCACAACCAATTGCAGTTGAAGATTACTTAGCACTTGTTCTAGGTTCTGTTAAAGTTAATGATGAAATTTTCAATGTTCATCAACCAGCTCTTTTAGATACCGGTTCATCTTGGACATATCTTCCACAAGAAATCGCCGACACAATTGCGGACAATCTCAATGCTACTTGGATTTCCAGCGAAGATAACGAATACTATTCAGTCAGATGTGATAATGTTATTGGTAATATTACCTATACTTTTGATGCTGGTGCTTCCATCACCGTCCAATTTGCAGATTTGGTATTCCGTGACACCGATGGCAATTGTCATTTAGGCATTGGAAGGGCTCCATACTTTATTCTCGGTGACACCTTTTTGAGACTGGCGTACGCCGTTTTCAACTTGGACGACAAAACCATTTCATTGGCCCAAATTAAGTACACCAACAAATGTAAAATTAGAGCAATTATGTAGGACATGAATATGCTTAAATTTATTATTTTAACCTATTATATAAATTGTAGTTTCACCCCCCCACATTAATTCACTGGATTGAAAATGGCCACTCCTTGATTGGGTTGCATATTGTGACGTTTAGGGGGAGAAGAATTGAAAGGGATTGGAAAATTTTCCAACGGTATATAAACGTTATTTAATTTCCTACTATTACATATTAGTCATGGAAGTATAGCTAATATTTTAAAATATTATTCTTTATTCATAATGAATTCTATGTTCGAACTGTTGAAAAACAATCACAATTTAGTTTACGGCAGTGGTGGAAGTAGTAGTGACCAAGGCTCTTCCAATCTTTCCCATGAAGTCGTTGCTGGTGCTGCTTCGTTTGCTGCAACAAAGATGTTTGAGGATAGACAGAGAAAGAAGGGACTTCCTGTTAGTCATTCGTTTGCAAAGAAAGCTCTCAGTGCTCTTGCTGGTTCTGAAATCGATAAGATCTTTGAAACCAAGGGATTAAATCACTTGGATAAAGAACAGACAAAAAATGAAGCTATTGAAAAGGTCAAGCAAGGATATGATGAAAGTTATGGACAACAAGACCAATGGTCACCAGAGTCCCAATCACCAATTTTGTGAGGAGCTATTTCTTATTTTCTTTTATTTTATTTTCAATAGCAAATAAGTATGTGTAATATGCAAAACACAACAAGGTTTTATGTCAGAACTCAAGAACTCTTTGTAGTACTGCTAATAAAATATTTATTGAAAACACAACATCTGTCTCATATATTAAAAATTAAATCATACAAATAACTATTAAACTGAGAACCTAAGCCCAATAACCTAATAAACTCATCAATAGCATACCGACAATCAAACTTGTCAAGGCAGATAATGTAACCCACAAAGAACTGTTGCTTAAACTTCCATGTAACCAGTCATGTGCCCACATTTCAATTAAACCAGTCCAAAGTAAAATACCAGCAGAGAAGGAGTCCAATGTACCTAAAGCAATGATAGTTGATGGATCGTTCCCATTGAACTTGTTCAACACACCAATACCAATGGCCATACCCAATGGGGTAATCAAAGCAAATGCAGCAGCCATGAGCAATTTCACGTGCATCTTTGCATTTTCAATACTAAGAATTCTCGAACCCAAAGCCAACCCTTCAAAGAACTGATGGAAAACAATCACTATGAATAAAGTAATAAAGTATGAATCGCCTGCGACAACAAGAATAACACCAATAAGAATAGAGTGAAAGAGAATACCAGCTTCCATGATAAGGACCGATATCTTATCATTAACTGAGATTCCGTGTGGAACAGACTCTGCGCTTGAAACCTCCACAACTTGTTTCTCTTCTTCTTTTGTTGAAGCAGCATGCCCTTTTGTCAAGGAAACTCGGTTCTTGAGCACTCTATGAGCAAAATATTCCAAAAGGAAAGCCACCAACAAACCTGCCATAGTTATAGCTGCACCTGTACCTTCATATACAATATGTAAACAGGAATTGCTCCACATTAATTGTGCATGAGTTATTAAATGGATGAACACAGTGGAGATAATGACCCCTGTACCGAATTGCTTGATAATAGTAATGATGATACCGTCTGTGGATAATTTGAACCATGATTTCAAAAGGAGCGGACCAAATGAACCAATTGCAGAAGTAACTAATATGACAAACAACAAACCAATTCTTAAAGGTATATTATAATCTCTGTCAACTCTTTCACAGGATTCAACATCTGCACTACCTCCAACACAATGTTCAACCCCCGCATGGAAATGACAATTGGTTCCAGACGAAGATTCGGATTCATCCAGGCCATCTTCATCAACAGCGATAAATTGCACTTCGTTTCCTTGATAAATGCAAAAAACTTCATCATCGTGAGAATGACACTCTTCATAGCTAGTTGGTGCCGCATCGGTGTTGGTTGGTGCGGGGACAATGGAACCTTCAACACCATAGCCATTAATACAATATTGAACCGAGTCGTGGAAGTGACAATCTGTAACAGCAGTCGTTTGTACTGAAAGAGATGAGCTAGACCCAGAATTGGTTGTAGAAGAAGTAGTAATAGCTAATTGTCTTGTTGAAGTAACATAAATAGTACCATCTGTTTGAGATGTAGTGGTAGGCAATCTGTAGTTTCTAGTTGAATAAACAGTAGTTGTCTCAGCTGTTCCCTGGGCAATGAAAAATGCAACAATGGGGATAAAGAATCTCATTCTGCTCTTAATATTTGGTAACCGTTATTACTAATATTATAACCACGAAAAGGGGGAAACAAATATTTAAATTAATTAATAAATTAATAAATAAGTGAAAAAAAACTAAAGGTAAGGGAAATAACTGTTGAAACAAATTGAATATCTATATATCAATTGTTTGATGATATTCATACTTTTTTATAAAGGGAAAACCATAAAATCTGTCAGTAGAAAAACATTTTCAGTATAGGTGCCAAGTAAATGTTGTCATCATGTAATAACCACTAAATATGATGGGCAATTTCGCCTTTTAATTGATTCTTGGCTGAAAAGTCAAAAACCGATATTACATTTGAAGTGGAATAATAACAGAATGGGTTGATTAATTAATACCCAGTATGTAATTTCATTTTCTTTGTACGCCAATTGGTACGGCAACGATCATAACTACACCAGTCCAATTTGCCAAGATCTGCTGCAAACTCAAAGATAGAGAGAAAAAAAAATTACCTTCGTCTGCTAATTAAGCGTAAAACTCAATTCTATTTTTTTTTTTTGCAGTAGTTAATTTTTAAGCCAAGAAAACACGAATTATATTAGCTGTTTAACAATAATGGTTACCAGATCGATATCTACGGCATTATATAATATAGTTGGCGGGTTATTATTTCTCAATTTAATGATATATATATATATATATGTATATGTACTCGATCAAGGAAGTATTCTTATTGTTCTCAACTTTATCCAAACTCTTCCATACCTGATAAGTGAAACACATTTATCACTGTCTTTACCCATACACATACGAAAAAAAAATGAAGTTTTCAATCTTAGCCTTATTATCAACTGCCGCAGCTGCCCCAGTCACTGTCACTAGAGTTGTTGATGCTTCTCCAACTGGTTACGATTGGCAGGCAGATTGGGTCAAAACTTTCCCAATTGCCAATTCATGTAACTCTACCCAATTTAATCAATTAGCGGTTGGTTTGCAAGAAGCTCAAACTTTAGCAGAACATGCAAGAGATCACACATTGAGATATGGTTACAAATCCCCATTCTACAGAAAATATTTTGGTAATGAAAGTTCTATTGCTGAAGTTGCAGGTGTTTTCCAAACCATTGTTAGTGCTGACAAAAGTGATATTTTATTCCACTGTGAGGACTTAGACGATAAATGTTCCAACGACGGCTGGGCTGGTTATTGGAGAGGTACCAATGGAAGTGATGAAACAGTTATCTGTGATCTTTCATTTACTTCTAGACGTTATTTATCTCAATTATGTGCTTATGGTTACACTGTTTCCCAATCTGCTACCAATACTTTCTGGGCCAGTGACTTGCTCCACAGATTCTTTCACCTTGATTCAATTGGTAATCAAATCATTGGTCATTATGTTGACTCATACGAAGAGTCACTTGAATTTTCATCTAGTAATGCCACCTATGCTGTCAGAAACTCCGATTCCTTGATTTATTACGCTTTAGATGTTTATGCTTATGATATTGCAGTTCCAGGTGAAGGATGCTCAGGCGATGGAGTCACATACACTCAAGATGATTTTGCAACTAAAGAAGTTGGTGAACACGACGATGAAGAGGATGACCATGATCATGACCACGATGATGAAGATGATCACGATCACGATCACGACCACGACGATGATGACACCACTGCTACCACTACTGCTGGTCAAACTGCTACCACTACTACTGGTGAATCTAACTGTCATACCCATGCTGATGGTGAAGTACACTGTTAGTTCAGTTTTTAACAGTTTCAATTAATTTCATGTTTTTATTAAAATTCTATTTTTAGTCGTTTTTTTTTTCATTTCTTTTCTGTTCCTTAATTTTTTTTTGATTTATAGTTCGTGTCACCATAAAATATAAACAAAAAACCATATATTATAAAATACTTTGGAACAAACCATGAAGGTAAATTCAATTCTGGATTACCGATAACCATAGCCTCAAATGCCGAATACAATTCTACAAGGCTTTGGGATCAGGGCTGGTGTTTAGTAATGCCGGTAAAGGCTTTGATGGTTAATCCAATCTAAGCCCTGAAGACAAATTTATGAACTTTTAAATTGCGTGTATCAAACACAAAAATGTGCATACGTTTCGAGACTCGCCAATAAACTACAGAAGAAGAAGAAGAAGAAGAAGGAAAATTTTTTTCTGTTTTTTTTTTTTTTTTTTTCTTTAGGGTTGCTTCCTTTTGTTCGTTCAAAAGGTTGTCTTACGTCATTCACTAGTGAAACATCAACCATGATTGAATAACTAACCTGGTGTTGGTAAACCTTTTATCCAAAACAACGAGTACTTGAGGGATACTCTCATTGACATGTAGACTCCTTCTTTTCTGCATGCTAAAATGAAGAAGATCAGTCAACTTTGTGATTTAGTGGGATCGATTACTGTCGGATGACGAGTTGCCTTACTGAACAATCAAAAAAAAAAAAAAAAAAACCATTGCCAATGTGGGGGCACTAAAAATTTGAAATTTACACCAAATGGTTAAGAGAGGTCCTGTAATGGATTTGTTGATTAGAGTCTGTGATTGTTTTTCTTTTCTTTTCTTTCTTTCTTTTTTTTTCATTTTCTTTTTATAAATATATAAATTTCTCTGTATTACTACTTCGTAGTTTTCTTTTATTTAATTATTCATTTCCCTGGTCATCATTTTATGGATTGTTTTCACTCACTATTGTGATTATTCCTTGTATTACATCAAAGTCTACTACCCTTGATTAAATGCTCCTAAAATATTTTAGAATTAGAAGATTACGATTGCCGCTCTTGGCATTGTTAGCACTAAATATCACCTGGTTTACGTATTATCATGTTAAACAATCATTGACACCGAGTGACATAGAGATGCTCAACATAGATCTCGATTCCACAGATCCCTTGGCAGAGATTTCAACCACAAATGCAAACTATGCTGAAGCAGTAGAAGAGTTAATTGCAAATATTCCAAGTTCAGTCATTGATATGAACTATAATATTCCAAAAACTGACAAAGAGCCTATATTCCAGGATCCACGATTGACTTATGGATTGATTTTGAATCTTCTAAACAAGGATCCCTCGGTAACTAGTATACCGTTCCATTGGGCAGATTGGGTCGATTTGTCACTTTTGAATCATCAAATGAATAAACCTTTTGAAGAAAGACTCAAATGTAAAGATATGATACCTCAAATTAACCTACAATCGGACGACGATAAAGAGAAATGTACTAATGATCCACGTTATTTTGGTTGTATTGATACTAAAGATTTAACAAGTCAAGAGTTGAAGCAGTATGGTGTGAATTCACATGAAGAGTTGCCAGGTTTTATCCAGTTTGAACATACAGTTTTTTCTTCCAACGAGTTTGTTCGAAACATTCAAGCAAAAACATATGTGTTGGCCCATATGCCATTACCATACAAGGTGGTTTTTCTTAATGATTATGGAGATGATATTATTTTGGACGTACACAAGGGAAAAATAGATTCATTGTTGGAAGATTATCACCAATCTTCAATTAATCCACTTTCTGAATTTGAAAAGTTGAGATCCCCAAGTGCATACCTATCACCATACTCCCCTGAGCCAATCATTCAAATGACTTCAGATATGTTCAACTATACTAGATTAGAATTAATCAATGCAGCTGACAAAATGAGACAAAGATCTAATTTAAACAAGCTTGAACAGTCTTATTTATATTCCATGTTAGCATCAATTAAGTCACGCTATCCTGAAGATACCGAAGAGCCTTATTTCAGAGAAGCTACTTTGCGTGTGGACCTGGAAAATTCGGATTCAGGCTGGCATTATGACTGGAGGTTTTTCAATGGAAAGTTGAAGAAGAAGGCAAGAACAGCAGTAATTTTGGAAAGACTATTACGTAACTGGTTCAAATTTACCGAGAAATATGGTATTGTAAGTTGGATAGCCCATGGTCCTTTATTGAGTTGGTATTGGAATGGCGCAGTTTTCCCTTACGACAATGACCTTGATGTTCAAATGCCTATAAGACACCTTACTAAATTAGGGCAATTATATAATCAAACATTGGTGGTTGAAGATTTACATGAAGGTGTGGGTAAATATCTTATTGATGTTGGGACATATATTCACAACAGGGATATTTCGCGTAATGAGAATCACATCGATGCTAGGTTTATTGACGTGGATAGTGGTGTCTACATTGATATTACCGGTTTAGCAATTGGGGAAACCAAACGATTTTCAAGAGCAAAACAAACATCCAATATTCATGATAGAAGAAAGCATTACTACCAAATTGATGATTTAGTCCCCTTGAAATTATCTATGTTGAATGGTGTCCCTTGTTATATAAACAATAAAGTGGTGGGCAATCTCCATCAAGAGTATCGTTCAGGAATCAGAAGGAAAACCTATCAAGATTACTACTTTTCAGGAAAATTAAACATTTGGATTCATTTTGAAACCGCAAAGAAAGTATTCGAAGCCAATGACTATCAAAAGCATAACGGTATTCTCAATAAATTGAAAATGAGAAAATTAATAGACGAAATGACAGATGACAAGGTGTTTGAAATGTTTAATAATGATCATGAATTGGCAATGGAGTACCGATTAGCTTCTAGCGTACACGAATTTCATATGAAAGAACTTGAATATTTGATCCATCCAATCAACAGATACCGGGTTGAAGATAAAACTGAAATCACTGACGAGTATAAAGAATTTTTGAAGAAGAACGTTAAATTACATGAACCATTCCGAGAATCATTATTTCAATATGAAAGAATCAATGGTGGACTAGACGAGTTTTATGCAAGAGCATATAGGGAATTAGATAGAATTGAAGTCTCTGAATAAACATATCAAGATTTCAACGTTTATTTCTTTTTTTTTTTGCAACATTCGCGATTTATATAGTAAAGTTGACGTTCTTTTAACATGTACAGATTTATAATTTAGTTTCACCTTTTTCTCTTTTTCTCCTTTTTCTCCTTTTTTTTTTTTGCTATTTTTAAATGAAGCAATGTTACTGATGGATGATTCGTGGAAGGCTGATAATGGTACTCATTCTCAAAGTCCTTCACCAGTTCCCAGTTTGGTAAACAGAAGCAACGCTAGCATATCACTTTCTAGTATTGAGCCACCACCTCAACCAACAACACAAGTTAATTTGGAAGTATATGAAAGAACAACAGCTTCAGCTTCATCAGCCGTTTCCTCTTCTTTTGGCTCCTTCAATTTTGAGTTTGATTCCATTGAATTGGACAATGACTTTTTAATTGATGTACCAGTTATTCCAAATTATGCCACCAGAGGCAATGATGACTTGTATAAGGAAACGAAACCAATGGAGAAATTATTTTTTGGTCTATTCAAGCACAGATGTGACAAGGTTTACATTCCAGAACAAGATAACACTCCAAAGACATTAGAGGTTAATGGCAAGCAAGTTAAACGGAAACACTCATTAGCTTGTTTGAATTTTTTCAAAAAAGAACAGACGCAGAAGAACAATCAATTACAAACAGATCAATACCCCAAAAAATCAATTTTAAAATCCAAAGTCAATCAAAATTATACAATTGAACAATCACAAACAAAAATTGAGGATTCTCTTTCATTCTCCCAATTTATGGATAGATTTGAACATGTTGAGTCCGAGAAGATTGGCAATGAAGAGAAATTGAGTATGCTACGTTCAAAGCAATTGAAGGATTATTACTCTCAATTGGATGGCTCTTGAATATATATACATATATATCTAACGTAACTGTGAATTTCGTTATAATTTTTCTAGATTCAATAAATACTCTTTAATTTTTGTGCCATATCTATACCCGGTAACTTGACCTGATGAACCCAAAACACGATGGCAAGGTATGATCATAGCAATTCTATTAGCACCACAACAGTTTCCAATAACTCTACTATGTGTTCCTAAAGTATCAGCCATGTCTTTATATGTTCTGGTTTCTCCAGGTTTGATACGTCTAAGGTGTTGCCATACTTTTTTTTGTAGCAGAGTCCCAAAAATAATTTCAACTGGAATTTGTTTATCTTCCTTTGGGTTTGCTACTAGTTGTTTGAACTTTTCAACGGTATCACTAATTTCTGTTTTATCCGTCTTTATTGTAGACAAGGGTTTAAGCTGATATTCCTTGACGCGTCTAAAATCTGTGACCAACGTTTTTTGCAAATGTAATTGAGATGATCCTAAAGACGCATAGTATAATACACCTTGCAGGTCTAATACTAGCATTGTCTTGAAGGGAGAAGTATCGATAATGGTATAGTATAAACTTTTCATTGTACGTAATACATAAAGAATTGCTAAAAGTTAAAAAAAAAAATACAATACTTCATTAAGTTCGTTTCCATGCGCGTATATTTATACTGATATAAATGTTGAGAGCAAAAAATATACATGAGCTCCTGATATTTGCACTTTCTCGTTTTTCTTTTGCAGCTTACAGACAACAACTGGCCTCTTCTTCAACTCTTGATGATGCTGGGTCCGAATTATATGTAAACAATAATCTACCAACAAATGCACCAAGCAAAGAGGATATAATGACATATCCATTGTAGTACATGAACAACAACATGACAAAGTATGCCAATCCCCATTCAATAACATAAAGCACACATCTGATTAAATGTTCAAACATAGTTGTCTTGCCTCTTCTCAATAGCCAAGTATGTGAAAGAGCAACCAAGAATGGGTTTCTTGTGTTTGGGGTTTCAAATTCTAGTGTCTTTGCGTCAACCAATTCGCCATCAACAAGTTCACCGTTTTTGAAGAAAACATCAAAATGTGGTCTATTGGCGATGGCAAGGTCCACTTCTTTGTTAAACCTATGTAACCACTGTAGGAAAAGCACCAAAAAGAAACTTGCCAAACAAGTTCCGACAAAACCACCAGTAGATTTAACATGCCATGATTCTGATATAAAACATGAGCCTGTAGTATACCAATTCCAGAACATTGAAACTTTGCATGATTTATCCTCTTCCATCATCATGGACATATCGTGTCTAGGTGATAAAGACATTGTGGATAGTTGTTAAAATAAAGATAAAAATTCTACATCAAGCTATCCCTCAATCATTGACACACACACATACATATATATATATTCAACATGGATCCTTTTTTTTTCTTACTGCAAATCTCATATTCAATGTAACAGGTTGAGTTTTAAACTCAAATGAAAACAAATCACACTAAATCGTACAAAACTCCCCGCATACATGTGGTGCCTCATGCATCACACGCCTTTTTTTTTTTTGCTTACTGAATTTTTACTCTTGTTGTCAATGTCCCTTTCAAATCTAAAGACAATCTTTACAAGGCTCAAATATTTTTTTGTTAAAAAAAAAAAAAACCGTTTGGGTGAACAATATTAAATATAAATTACCTTTGAAATAAACTATATATATATCTAAACTAATCAATGCTATATATATACCCTGTATCTGAAATACTCTTTTTTTTTTTACTCCCTAATACGAAGTTATTAACACATTTGATAAGCAAATGTAATATTTACCAATGTATTCCTGGTTATTAATGATAAATTTTGAATGATTCTGCCTTTCAAACCTAGCAGTTAGATTATTTTCCACTTCTTCTAAATAACTCTTAAACTGATTCAATTCTCTAACTTCACTTATTGTGTGCTGAGGAGGTGGAATGGGGGTCATCTCATCGGGCATGAAACTCACGATTCTAAACCCAACAAACGATGTACATACAGTACAGTTTATCTCTTTGATCACTATGATATCATTCAACAATTGCCTGTTTTTGTTTTCCTGAACAAATGTTGTGGGATTAGTATTATCAAATAGGGTGCTATTGCACTGACTACATGAAAATAGGAGTCGTTCGTGGGAACTCGAATGGAAATTACAGGAGCGAAAGGTACTGTTTATCAATTGGAAATTTTCTGGGATATATTCTTCAATTGATTTAGATTGCAACATTTGTCTCTCTCAAGTAGAAGATTATGTGAACGATTTGTATATGATGTATATAATTTTTTTTTTTTATTTTCTATTTGAAAATTTCCGTTTGCTTTTTTTTGGTTTGTTTGTTTGTCTCCAGTTTTTTATTGCTTACAAAGAATAAGGTTGGGTATTTATAGTTATCAACTAAATGATTTCACTTACGAACTTTTCTCTACAATAATAAATAGGGCAAAGAAAAAAAATATAATAACATTCAGATATTCATTTTTCTTTCTTCGCCTCCTTTGTTAACTTGAGCAATTTCAGGTTCCCTAACCCACTCTATATGCGTTTATCATTTTTGTTTCGTAGTTTTAATATGTTTTACATTAAACCCCAAACAGTCCCATCTCTTCCTTTCCAATTATACTGAAAGTTCGTAATTGTGTGCATAAAGAGGAAATCGTGATTATTTTTGTGCTGATTTTATTTTTTGGTTGTTAACAGGCAAGTTCTCTTATCGCTCGGAAATAACACAAGCGGAAAATGTAATCCCAGTTTTGCAGCAGTCACGTGCGCTTACACCTTCAGGGTTGATCAATGAAAAAAAAAAAAAAGAATGAAAAAAATTTAAAGAGTCCAATAAATAGTGAAGAATTTGTAATACTTGATCTTTTACTCTTATTTACCTCTTGTGGCTTTATAGATCATGACCATGTCAAGAAACCCTGTTCAACTTACACCTGCTCATATTGAGTTTCTCAATAAAAGGTTAAACACCCTTAGTGCACCAGAGATCATAAAATGGGCATATTATACATTTCCAAATCTATATCAAACTACTGCATTTGGATTAACTGGTTTGGTTACTGTTGATATCATTTCAAAATTATCACAAGAGTTGAATCATGATGAAGGTCACTTGATTGATTTGATCTTCCTTGATACATTATACCACTTCCCACAAACACTTCAGCTTGTTGATAATGTCAAACTGAAGTATAACCCAAAGATTCATATTTACAAACCAAAAGACGTCAGTGATGAGAAGGAATTTGTCAGCAAGTATGGTGATCAATTATGGGAAACTAATGAAGAATTCTATGATTTCTTGGTAAAAGTTGAACCAAGTCAACGTGCATACAAAGAATTGAATGTATCTGCTGTTTTAACAGGTAGAAGAAAGTCCCAAGGTGGTGCACGTACTGAATTGAAGATTTTGGAATTGGAAGAAACAAGTGGTGTCATTAAGATCAATCCCTTGTGGAATTGGGATTTCAAGCAAGTTAAACAATACGTGGACAACAACAACGTTCCATATAATGAATTACTAGACTTGGGTTATAAATCCATCGGAGATTGGCACTCGACTGTTCCTGTCGGTGAAGGGGAAGACGAAAGAAGTGGAAGATGGAAAGGTAAGGCCAAGACGGAATGCGGTATCCATACCACTAGTAAATATGCCCAATTTTTACAGCAACAGTAAATACTGTATATAGGGAAGAAAAATAAAAAGGAGCATGTCGCTTATTATAATATTCTTGATTTGTCAATATATTCCGCGCACTGCGCAATTGATGATTTATGTTGGTGGGTAAGTTTTTGGAGATAAGACTTTATTCTTCTTGTATAAATAGGGAACTCCAGAATGGGAGGGAAAGTAAAATCACTTGCATGGAGCTACTTTCTTTCTTCTCATCATTCCTCGATGCTTTAACGATTTAAAAAATGATTAAAGAAATAGTGTATTTTGTATATTATTATGGAATTACCCACTCAGTTTCAGTGCAGGTCACCGCTCTTGTCCTTATCGTGACATACTTTTTTGTTATTCGTCCAATTAACTCACCTTTATGGAGAGTTCCCGGACCATATTTACATCGGGTAACTTACTTTCCATGTTTAAATGCCCAACGAAAGGGAGAATGGATCTCCAAAGTTTATGATTTGCACAAGAAATATGGTGATGTAGTTTTACTTTCTCCAAATGAAATCAGCGTCAATGGTGACCCAAAATATTTGACTGATATTTATGTAAAGAACCTCCCAAAGTCAAAGTTTTATGAAAACTTTAGAAATCATGGATTCCAGGATAATATTTTTGCCAGTTTGGAAAATGATAGACATATCAAGTATAAAAGAATGATAAATAACTTGTACAGTAAATCTTCCATCTTCTCCAAAGAAAACCACACAAGATCAGTTTTATTTGACACCACAAAAACATTAGTCGATGCAGTTGCTAGAGAATCTCCGTCAATTGATGTGTTTACGTTATTTGGTTCCTTGGCCATGGATGTGGTTTCAAGGTTTGAACTTGGTAGAGACAATGGAACGGATTTATTGAATCATCCACAAGAAAGGCATATTATTGAATCTCATAGAAAGGTGTCTTGTATGGGGTTCTGGACAACATTGATGCCAAGCTTCTTTTGGAATTTGGCAGCAACCAAGGCCACCTTGCAAGCTGTTGATGATATTTGCAATTTCCAATTGGGTTTATATAAAATTGCAGAATCCAATCTTGTGTCCAATGGTAAAAACCTAACTACGATACAAACACTCAAGAAGTACGGATTGGAAGGAAATTCTGCGTATTCTTTTCTCACGGATAATTTATTTGCTGGACATGAAACTACAGCTGTTCAATTGACATATTTGTGTTATGAATTATCAAGACCAGCTAATTACAAAATTCAGAATAGATTAAGATATGAGCTTCAAGAAGCATTTCCAAGTGGTCAAATTGAAGATTTGGAAGTGGTTGATAATCTTCCGTATCTTAATGCGTTGTTGTCCGAAAATGGTCGAATTCACACCTCAATTCCTGGAGCTGAGCCACGTGTGGTTGCAAAACCGTATACTATTGGCAAATTGCTTATTCCAGTTGGTACGGTTATCTCTTGTCTTCCTTATGCGTATCATAGAAATCCGTCGGTATTTACCAATCCTGATAAATTTATCCCCGAAAGATGGTTAGTTGACAACGAAGAAGACAAGAAACGAGTCAAACAACAAGCGAAGTATATGATGCCATTTGGTAAAGGTGTAAGAATGTGTCTTGGGATGAACTTGGCACTCATTGAAATGAAGTTGGCCATTGCAAGTTTGTATTTAAACTTTTCTTCTTCCATTGACGAAGACTGGTGTGGCAAAGTATTAGAAAATGATGACCCCATAGGTATCGGGAATTCATGCACTCATGAGACTGATCAGGATAAAATGAAAATGTACGATGCTTATACTACGAGACCAATGCTAGATGAATGTTACTTGAAGTGGACAAGATTAACTCCTTGACCGGGGTTCGTATAGACATAATTTAACTTATGCAAATATACTATACGAAATATATAAATAACAAAAGAAAAAAAAATTATAATAATAATAATAATAATAAAGTACACATGCATATTCTTAAAACTTTGATATATTACTTACATGGGTAAATAATAATAACCAGACAGAATCGTATAGAAGTATAAGCTAAAAATGGGAGAATTGTGATTCGTCTTTTCTTATGATACACACGTTGTTAGCATATCCCAAAAATAAAAAAAAACTGTTAGAACTCTACATATGTAAGTGAGCAAAGTATAATAATAGATATAATAAAACCTAATTGTATAATAGGTTGTTGATAATTTATATTAGTTGGTTGATTCGTTTTCTATTTAGTATTAATTTATTCTCCAATTATTTCATCCCTTAATTTATAGTCGTCAACAATTTAGTATTTTCATGTGACTTGAATCATGTTTTAAACTTTGTTGTGTCGTGTAACCATGGAGAATTATCTGATTACATAATCATCCTTTAACAAAAACTAAAACTAAAATTTACCATGCAGCAGAAAAAAAAAATAGAATCAGAAGCTTAATCTTCTCTCACCAGAGCAATACAAAACAGTGGATTGCTCGTCCACCATTTTGTGCGATCTTCGTTTTAACCGACACCACCGAAGGGGAAAATCGATCTTATCCGAACCAAAGTCTTTTTTTTTTCAATGCTACAATTCTATCTCTTTCTTCTTCTTCCTACTTTTTTTTTGGTTTTATAATTTATTAGACAGTACTCTTTTCTTCAGATTTACAATTTCTTTCATTTGTTCAGAAGCTTATCATTCTTAATTCTGTTTATCAAATAATAGAGTTGTAAACCACATATTATTAGTTCCTAATTGATATAGACGTGCTAGTTATTATTATTTCGCCTTTGCCCTTTTTTTTAGTTTCTTCAATCCCACAAAGAAAATAAAATAAAATAAAATAGAATGTTACCATTTGCTTGGCCATATCCACCGGAACAAAAGAATGGATACTGGGGTATCCCAACATCTACCATTGATTGGTGTGAAGAAAACTATGTTGTTTCTAAATACATAGCAGAAGCAGTAAACACCACGACTAATTCAGCTTTCATCATTTTAGCCCTGTTTTCTATCTATCATGCCATTCACAACAAGTTAGAACCAAGGTTTATTTTCACCGCATTTGGGTTTCTTTTGGTTGGTATTGGATCCTGGTTATTCCATATGACATTGAAGTACCATTTCCAATTATTGGATGAATTGCCAATGATTTATGCCACTTGTATTCCTTTTTGGTCCGTATTTAGTGAGTTCAAAACTCCAAGACAATCCATCATGGTGGCCGTGGGGATTTTCTCGGCTGCTAATTTGCTTACTATCATATATTTGTATTTTAGAAACCCAACCATCCATCAAACTGCATATGGGGTGTTGAATGGTTTTATTATTTTCAGATCAATTCAATTGAATTTAAGAGTTGTCCATGATAAGGTTGCAAGAATGCAATTACACAAGACTAGTATATTTGGTATTGGTATTTTCCTCTTTGGCTATTTCTTATGGAATCTTGATATCCATTTCTGTGATTCGGTTAGAGCAACAAGAAGAGATTGGGGTATGCCATACGGATTTGTCTTGGAAGGTCATGGATGGTGGCACATATTCACTGGACTTGGTGTTTACTATTCATTGGTATACGAAGAATACTTGCGTTGTTTCTTGACTGGTACAGAAGACTACTACAAATTTAGCTGGAGCTGGGGTTTGCCAGTCGTGTATTGTATTGATAAACATGGTTTGGAAAGACATAGAGCTATAAAGAAATTGGCCGAATATGATAAAAAGAATTTATAAGTCTTCAACAATCTCCAATATAAACTTATTAGATTCGTTAGAAAGTGCTGTTTTCAAGGAATTTGTAGATAGGTTGTCGTTTTCTCTCCATTGTTTGAGAATGGTTCTTAATCTATCCATTCCTTCCTTTGTTTCTTCTGGTGAACACTTCTTCTTTAATGGTGGCTCTTCACTCAACTCTTCCGCTTTTCTTTTGGCCATATTGACAATTTTCTGTGGGAATTTAACTAATTCTGCAACATGGATACCAAATGATTTATCAGAAATACCTGGTTCTACTTTATACATCAAAGTGATATCATTTTCTTCGTTCTCTTGTGCAACAACATGAAGATTTTGCACTTTACCAGGATACTTTTCGGCTAAATTGTTCAACTCATGGAAATGGGTTGCAAACAAACTGAAACATTTCTTGTCATTGATTAAATGTCCCAGGATAGCCCATGCAAGTCCAAAACCGTCGTAAGTTGAAGTTCCTCTTCCTAATTCGTCAATGATAATTAACGAATTCTCCGTAGCAGTAGCTAAAATGGACGACGTTTCCAACATTTCAATCATAAATGTGGATAAACCTTTCAATTGCGAGTCGCCAGCACCAACTCTAGATAATATTGCATCAAAAATTGGCAACTCTGCTCCTTCGTTTGCAGGGATAAATGATCCAATCTGTGCCAACAAGGCAACAACACCGATCTGTCTTATATACGTTGATTTACCACCCATATTTGGCCCAGTGATAACGACGAAACGATTTTCATCCATTGAAACATCATTGGAAATAAAGTTAATGTCATCCTGAACTTCAAGAAGTGGGTGTCTAGACTCTTCCAACTTGATTTTTCTATCTGTACCAAATGGATGTAATTTAGGTTTAACATATGAGTTTAGCATAGCAGATGTGGCCAAAGTAGCAATAACATCTAAATGCGCCAATGTTCCAGCAAGAGAGCCGAAAACATTTTCGTAGGACAAAACAAGAGATAAAATCTCTCTAGTAATGGCACTCTGTTCTTTATCATACTGAGCACGGGCATCTGAATATTCAGCTGAAAGCCTCTTCAATTCGGTGGTAGTGAAGAAAACTCCCATTTTTTGTGTTTGTAGCTGTTCATATTGTCTTTTATTTCTTATAACAACCGATTCAGCACGAGTGAGACGCAAGCACCAACCATAAGTTTGATGATTTTCCAATTTCAACTTCTTATTCACGTCAATATTCAAGTCATCACCAACGTTTAGATGTATTTGGTTGATAGCATCAATTAACGAAGACATTTGGTTTTCCAACTCTACCAACTTTGGATTGAACTCTGGCTTAATCCTGTTATCCTCATATTGAGCAACATCAAGTACAATGGAAACTTCCACTAATTCACAAAATTTAGCCAATGATGCCGCACTTTGTTTGAGTGGAGTCAAATAATAATCAACTGTTAAAACATCAAGTAGATTGGGCAATAATTGAACAACATTGTATAATCCAACCACGTCATTTAATTTTTTGCTATCACTTCCTGGTTTCTTAGATCCAATTTTCTTTAAGATTCTCATGATGTCTGGAACTTTTGACAAAAAATCTTGTACGTCAACCCTTAAACTGGTATCATCAATCATCAACTCGACAAGTTTTTGGCGTTCTTCAATTGTTGATAATTCGATCAACGGCTGTTTAAGCCACTGAGATAATAATTTTGATCCTGCTGTAGTTTTGCATTTAAACAATTCATAAATGGAAGTAACTGTCTTTTGGTTTCCAGCGGGAAATACATTCAATGCTTTGATGGTAGATGAGTCGAGTTTCATAAACGACGAAAGGTTATACTTTTCAATGGTGAAAGCTTTAGAACTACTCAACAAATCCAAATAGTCAATTAAAGCACCACAGCAAGATAATGACAAGGCAAAGTCACTAGAATTTAACCCCTTTGATGCCAAGGTTAGTTCCACATTGTCGGTGTCTAAAAGCTTTTCCAAATCTTGTTCAACGTCTTTAGGAAATGACTTTATTGCACCAATTTGCAAGTCATTGACTTTATTAATTGCTTGCAAAAACTTGTTGTTATCAATATTTGATGGAATTAATGCTTCTTTAACTCCCAACTGGATCAACAAACTTTCCAAATTTGAAAAAGCATCATTATCTTCAAACTCGGCAAAATAAATAGTGGAATTCTCTACCACACAAACACCTACTTTTTTACCTAGTTTAATGGCAGCTATGGACGAATTTGATCCATCATCAAACTCAAAGTCAATGCCAAATTCCTCACTGAGTGCTTCTAAGTTACCAGCACTTCCTGAACCAATAAGCTTGAATGACTTGTTATCATAAAGTTCAATCTTAATACGGTTTTTTACACACAACTTCACCAGTTCTTTGAAATTTTGCAAAGAGACGGCAAATCTTTTGCCTTTTCTAGATTCTTCAATGACACTTCTAGTTTTATAAAAGTTATCCGCAAGGTATTCGGCATCTTCATTCAAAACGGTAAAATAATCTTGGGTGGTATGGTGAATGAATCGAATAGTTGGAACATCTTTTGGTGGTAGTTGACTGAATTTCTTATAGTACGCGTTTTCATCAATGGTATCATTGAAAGTCACACGAAGCTTAGTACTTGACATTGTATGGGGTTGTATTTGTAAGGATAGAAAGAAAACAACAGGAGCAATTTGAACTTGATAATTTTCAAGAAAACCAAAATGAAAGCAAAGAGAAAAACAAAAAAAAAAAAAAAATCAATTAAAATTAAAACGCGTCTTTCTTTACACGATCAAAAAAATATTCTGCTAAATCTACTGGTAGTTTTTGTGTACTCTTCTGTGTATGCACCTTATGCTAAAAAAAATTATAAACTATAGACATTACTTATACACATTCTACTTTCTCAACTTCAAAACAATATAGGTGGCAATTCTATAAAATGCAATAATAGCAATCATGACACCAATCCATAATCCCCTGTCTTCATGTCCATAGCCCAAGTTTTGTAAAACTGCACGGCCAGAGATTTGACATTGACTGAATACAGCCGAAATCAAGAACCAAAATGGAAATCCAACAAGAAAATTGGATAAACAAAAGGCAAATGGACCATATAAACCATTTAATCTTTCCTTTTTGTAACTGCTATAGTCTTCAAGATAGGAAGGGATATAAGCAACAGACATGAATGACATAAAAGCACCAGAAAAGAAGATTGCATTGATGAATGGCTGGATATTTTTTTGATCTTTACCCAATCTTAACCAAACGGTACCCATCAAGATAGCTAAACCAAGGTACATAACCAATCTCACGTAATAAGTCAAAATATCTCTACTGGCTTTAACAAGAGAACGAGATATTAAAGTTCCAATATTTCTAATTTCACTGGTGGTACTGAATGTGGTGAGCTCGATTGGATCTGATTCCAGCTTCAAAATTTCACTATGATCATGTTCATTTTCTTTCCATTTAGAAACCAAGTCATCAAGAATTTCACCATTGCTGTCGAAATCAGTATTGATCAAGTCCAAGACATATTCTGCTGGGTTCATATAAGGTGGCATTGGATACCCAACAGAATCAAAATATTTGACCACATCTTCAACTTTACCGTTATAGACGGTTTTCCCTCTAGAAAGAAACATGACTTTATCAAATAATTCAAATGTGTAGGTACTAGGTTGATGAATGGAACAGATGACAATCATATTTTCCTCTTTGGCAACTTTCTTGATAGTACTAATGACTTCTCTTGATGCAACAGAATCCAATCCGGAAGTTGGCTCATCAAGAAATAAAATTGAAGGTGATGTAATCATTTGGGATGCAATACTGACTCTTCTTTTTTGACCACCGGAAATACCTTTCAGGATAGGAGTACCAATTTTCACATTCAGTTGATTACTCAAACCTAATGACTTGATTGTTTTTTCAACAAGATCTTTTCTATGAGCAGAGTTAATACCGGCAAATTTAGCACTATAGTCCACTGTTTCCAGAACCCTCAAGGATCCAATAAGAGAGTCTTCTTGTTCAACATAACTTGACAATTGTTTGATCTTGTTCAAAGTTGCCTCTTCATCATTGATATAAATATCACCACTCAAATGTGATGAGCCAGGTTTTGATCTAAATGCCAAAGAGTTTAACAAGGTGGTCTTACCCAGCCCTGAAGGACCCATTAATGCGTAAAGACCAGATTCGGAAATGGACCCACTAACGTCATCTAAAAGAACCTTTCCATTGTCCAATGTCAAAGTGAGATTGGACCAGCTAAATGTTTGTACAGTCATTGTTGTATGATTTCTATTAATTTGTTGATATAATAATAAGAATAATAATAAGGAAGTAAAAAAAAAAAAAGAGCCAATTTATTTGCAACAATCCGTATTTATAGCCATTGTGCGGCTAGTAAGATATTTTTCTCTTGTTACTGAGTTCCATACAAATCTCAGTCCCCGGTTGGCGAGAAAAAAACTGTGGATTTTCTCAGGAAATAAGTCGAAACTCAAGGGAAATAGCCAAAGTACACGACAATGTGCGTGTGTACTCCAAAAATTACTCAAAATGGTACAAAATTTTACGTAAAATTTCTTTTTTGTCAATTTTTTTTTTCCGGCTTATCTTTGTGCATCTGGATACGAATGTCATGATGAGCTTAAAGGTCATTTCACTTGAAGAACATAAACAAGAATATTAACAAATGTGGGGAGCGATTATATAAGCAAGGGATATGAGAGATAACAACTTTGAAAATTTATGATAACTTCATGGCTTATATATTTTTAGGAGCTACGGAGTCTAGCCAACAATAAGAATGGACAATCAAATACGAGCTATTTCAATACAAACCCTACCTGGACTTTTTTAACCATAAAGACGTTTTCATAAAATTAAACAATTTGGGGAGTGTTGGTTGTTGTGGTCTTTTTAAAAGAACCCCATTACCTTGGGGACTCTTCTAAACGATAGAAATGACCTTCAACAAATGCCAAATCTACTATGGTAAGTTTTTCACCAACAAACTGTTTGTCTTTTTTTTCTTTTTGGCGAAGTAATCCTCTAATACAGTATATGCTTTATTAATCTGTTGAAATAAAGTTGAAAACAGTAACCACCTCCTTTGTTGCCAATAAAATGAATCTCCATGTGGATAACTGACTATTATTAATGTCGTGTATGTCTGCAATGTCCTGCAAAATAGTGTTGCGTTCACTTAAAGTTAACTCTAAATAGCAACTTATTAATTGAACTGATAACATAATTGATTTGAGAAAGGATGCAATATTTCATAGAAAACTAAACTGCACTATACTATTCTTTTAATTTTCAGGATGACCTAAGGAATTAATTACCACGTAGAATAATTAATTACTAATTCCACAAGTACTGTGTTATTTTTTGTTGTAGTAATAACGCATTGTTATATTCAATCCTTATATAAAACAATAGACTTGGAAGGGAGTAACAGGAATCTAAACCCCGTTAACGTGGTTAATTAATCGTAAATTGACTGGTCATTTTGTCGATCAATTCACCGTTAAAATTCCCCTCCAATTCAGTTTGTGTGTTTGGGATATTACTACTATGGACGCCCCTAGGCTTTGGTCTAGACTCCATCCAATAACAATCACACTTATCTATTAATACCAATAAAGACCTAATTATTCTACATCCTCCCAGATAAACTTGGTTCTAAAATACCTGGCTACAAAAGTCAAGAATAATAGAATAGGAACTTCTAATAAAGGACCAAATGTCGCGGCAATTGATTGTTTAGATCCTGAACCATAAACTGAAATTGCAATACTGAGTGCTAGTTCAAAATTGTTTGAACCGGCAGTAAACGATTGAGTGACAATCTGGCCGTAGTTAGCAGCACATCCACGTTTCCATTTTGTAGGATACTTTGCTAATTTTTCTTCACATCCACACAACAATCTTTCACCTTCTTCTTCTTCCTCTTTCACTTTACGTGGTCTAGAAAACCATCTCAATGTAAAGAATGTAGCAAACCAACAGATAACAAAATATAAAGTTAATGGAATAAAACAAAGGAACGCCGTTCCAATCTCGTCAATAAACTCTTTACCTTTATCAACAAAAATAACAATAATGGTATACAATAACCCAATCAAAGCCCAAGGACTAATAAATGGTATCAATTTGCTGTAAACATTAAAGTATCTTAAGGTAAATCTTATAATTACACCTAATGCAAGTGGAATTCCCAAAAAGAATGCAACACTCTTGGCCACAATTGAATATGAAACACCAGAATCAACAGGAACAGGGTCTCCGCTAATAATATAACAAAAGAACAATTGGTATGGTGCAAATAAGACAACTTGCAACAAACTATTAACAAGAACAAGTACGGCGCAAAGTGTGTTGTCACCCAATGCAATTTCGTTCCATAATAAAACCATTGCAATACATCTTGCAATACCAATCATAATAATACCAGTTCTATATTCGTCATAATTAAACAAGACCAACCACGCCAATCCAAGCATGATGAATGGACACACGATCCAGTTTAAAAATAAAGAAATCAAAATGGGACGCAAATAAGTACTTTTCCTGAAGAAATTATGAAAATTTTCCCATTCAACTTTACATAATGGAGGAACCATCATAATTATCATACCGACTGCTAATGGAACAGAAACACCAACTACTTGAGCACCGTCAAAGGCATCGCCACTTAAAGGTACATAAACAGAAATCAATACACCAATCACAATAGCAAGAATAATCAAAAGTGGAAGTAATTTGTCAGTAATGGAAAGACCATCAAAAGCTGCCTTTGCATCTTGTTTAAATGTCATTATGAGTATAGAACACTTGTTAATAGGACTTTGTCGATTACAGATGAAATTTTTTTTTTCTTTTTATTATTATTTTATTCGTTAATTTATTTTTTCTTTTCCATAGTTTCGATTAAGGTTTTGTTTTATTTTTTTCTTCTTGTACTCGAAACGGCTCTGCTTGAGTTTTAGTTAATATTTTTACACCAATACACCTGACTCTTGACTCATCAAGTGACTTATCAGAATAGAACTCTCAAATGATGTTTCTAGTATGGAATTTAGAGTGTAGATACGTTTTGCAATTACGAGCACGTTTTAGTTGGGGCCTATCTTCGCAACATGCATATTGTGCGACTTGGTCCAGATTTTAAATTTATTGTGAAATACATCTGACTTTATAAGTTCTCAATTAATCTTAGTGAATGTAATAGTATGTTGACCCATTATGCTGACATCGTAGCTCTGATGTAAAAAATTAATGTATTATCAACTAAAAGGGCTGAATTGCTGCAAATATATATTACAAATCCAAGTTTGATACTTCCGGGGTCTACATTCATAAATAATGTTCAATTTGCAACTTTAACCATAATTTTCAACAAATTTTAATAAAAAAGAATCATATCAACCAATCAAATAGAGTTAGCATAAATACATATGTACATATCCAATATAATTATTACAGGTCTTATTCATCTCATGGAATGTGTGTATCGTTTTTTCCACTCCAAATTTTTTGACAGCCGCACCCGAATTAGGAAATCGTTGTTGTCTGTGAAAAATTCCCTACATAATATTGATTCTCAACTTTTTTTTCTTTGTTTCTCGTTGAAAACAAAGTGAAAGAAAGAAAAAAAAAAAAAACGCAGCATAGTGGCAATATCGTTCATTTTAAACCTATCCATCAATTCGACCAACAAATATCATACAATGTCTGAAATCACTGAACTAGATTCTAAAACCACTGCTCCAGTTACAGAGGAAGAAAAAAACATTATTAAAACTTTAGAAGAAGATGATGAATTTGAAGATTTTCCAGAAGATGATTCTAAATGGTCAGGAGAAGGTAATAAATTAGATGAAAAGACCTTATGGGAAGAAGATTGGGATGATGATGATACACAGGATCAATTCGCTGCTAAATTAAAAGAAGAATTACAAAAAACCGGAAAACCTGTTGCCAAATAGAAGTTGATCAGTTATAAAAAGAAAAATGTTAGTTGAATCTAGATCTTTTTTTATTATTATTTTATTTTACTTTATCATGTAACGAAATACACACATTTATGTATACTATAAATTACAAAGCTTCATTTAAGCATAGAAATTAACTGATTTGGATTTTCTAGCTTGAACCTCACCAATAGCTTCTACAAAATCTTCGTGTTTGATTATAGACTTACCATTTCTCAATGCAATCATACCGGCCTCTACAGTAACAGCTTTTAATTGAGCACCATTGAACTCATCTGTGGATCTGGCCAATTCTCTCCAGTTAACAGAATTGTTATCACAGTGCAACTTTCTAGCATGGATTTTCAAAACAGATTCTCTGGCTTCTTCAGATGGCAATGGGAATTCTATTTTTCTATCCAATCTACCAGATCTCAACAAGGCTGGATCTAATGTATCAACTCTGTTAGTGGCAGCCAAAACTTTCACTCTATCGTCTGATCCAAACCCGTCCAATTGATTCAATAATTCCAACATAGTTCTTTGGACTTCTCTATCACCACTTTTATCTGAGTCGAATCTCTTGGTACCAATGGCATCCAATTCATCAATAAATATAATCGTAGGAGCTTTTTCTTTGGCCAATGCGAATGCATCACGTACCAATTTGGCACCATCACCAATAAACATTTGAACTAATTGGGGAGCAGCCAATTTCAAAAAAGTGGCTCCCGATTGGGCGGCACAAGCTCTGGCTAATAAAGTCTTACCGGTACCTGGAGGACCATACATTAAGGCCCCCTTTGGTGGTTTGATTCCCAAGTTTTGGAATTTTTCAGCTTGTTTCATTGGTAACACCACAGCTTCAATCAATTCTTCAATTTGTTTATCTAATCCACCAATATCTGAATAATCTTCGGTTGGTTTTTCATCAACTTCCATTGCTTTGACTCTGGAATCATATTCGGAAGGCAAGGTATCCAACACAAGATAGGAATCCTTATTAACACCAATTAAATCGTTAGGTTTCAATTTACTAGGATCAACCAAACCAATCATTGGTAAAAATATAGTTTGTCTTGTTGACGTTTTAATGACAGCAGATGTTCCTGCTCTGGCTGCATCAATATCAATATTGGCACCTTGTTCACTGGCTTCCTTTTCTGCATTCAAATCTAACAACTCTACCACGTTCCCCACCAAGTATGGCAATTGTTTATTATTGTTGATTTTTTCTTGGTTGTCCTTTATTCTTTCCATCATTACTGTTTTTTCATGGGTTAATCGTTGTGATTCTGATCTCATAACTTTAATGTCATTGTCCAATAGTTTGGTTCTATTGATTATATCTGATGTAGAGGAGTTTAAAATCTCTTGATCTATAACATCTTCTCCTTGTTGATTTTCCAATTCTTCTAAAGTGACCATGGTGATTGCTTATAGTGTGGTTTGGTTATACTAATTGACACTCTCACCAATGTTTTCAGGTTCTTGCTGTCTAATGGTATATTTTTTTTTGTTCTTCTTCGTTCTCGCCCTCTCATTCTTGCCACCAAAAATCGTGCTTAACAGAATCGAAATAAGAAAAAAAAAAAATCGAAAAGTTCACACGACTGGTGGGAGTATCTTTTTCTCTCTCTAATCAATTATGTCCATTCCTAAATACACAGATCATAAAGAGATAACAGACGACGAGTTTGCCAAGTTAAAAAAGAGTGTTATAAATGGTATGAGAATATTACAAATGAATTGTAATTGGATTTTTACTAACACCTATTTAAGCAAAATCATTAGCTTATTGTCCATACTCTAATTTCCAGTATGTATATCTACAACTTGAACAAAACGACAAATAAGTTTACTAACATCGTAACTTCAAGCGTTGGGTGTACAATTATAACTGAGTCTGGTGAATTCATAACTGGAGCTAATGTGGAAAATGCATCTTATGGAGCCGGTATATGTGCAGAAAGAACAGCAATTGTGAAAGCAGTGGTATGTTATCAGTTTATTTTTATACTGTGTGAGAGAATTCTTGTTTTTCTTTTATCAACTATACTAACATATAAAATAGAGTGAAGGATTTACACAATTCAAAGTAATTGCTATATCAGGAGACACCAAAGAACCAATTACACCTTGTGGGATATGTAGACAATTTATTCGAGAATTTGCTCCAAATATCCCTGTATATATGTTCAATGATAGTGGTGATTTCATAAAAGTCTACTTGCACGACTTGCTACCATTAAGTTTTGGACCCGAAGATCTTGGAGTGAGCGCGCAAAATAATAGGTGAAAAAATCGTGGTCGGAAGATGGATACAGTGCTCACGACTACGGGTCGTTTTCTACAGAAGCGTGGGACTGAAAATTTTTCTTTTTTTTTTTAGGTTTTCTTCTCATGATACAAAGAAAAATTTCTTTTCCAGTTATAAGAAAAATATTCTTAGGATTAAGTTCAATTTTTTTTTCTTTATATATATATATCTATATATACAAGTCATCTCTATCTTGCTAATAGATTAATAAAAATAGAACAATATTAATCATGACTGCCATCTGTGCTTCTCCCCTTTGTGGTAAAGAAACTGAATCTGCTTTGAAATGTCCTGTCTGTTTGAAGGAAGGCATTTCAAATGTATTTTGTAATCAAAATTGTTTCCGTTCAAGCTGGACAACCCATAAGAGTATCCATAAACTGGAAGATGGAGCTGAAGAATATATCCCATTTCCAACTTTCCAATATACTGGTGATTTAAGACCACACTATCCTTTGTCTCCAAGAAGAGCTGTTCCCCAACATATCAAGTTACCAGACTATGCCAAAAACGGTAGACCTATTAGTGAAATCAAAAATGATAGGGTTGGTAAGATTCCAGTTTTAACTCCAAAGGAAATTGAAAAGATGAGAAAAGTTGCTAAGATTTCAAGAGAAATTTTGGATATCACTGCTAGTCATATTAAACCAGGTATTACTACTGATGAATTGGATGCCATTTTACATAAAGAATGTATCAAGAGAAATGCTTATCCATCTCCATTGAATTATTACAACTTCCCTAAATCATTCTGCACATCTATCAATGAAGTTATCTGTCATGGTATACCAGATAAAACTAAGTTACAAGACGGAGACATTGTCAATTTAGATGTCACCATCTATTATCTTGGATTGCATTCTGATCTTAATGAAACCTATTATGTTGGTGATAAGGCCAAGGCTAACCCAGAATTGGTGAACTTGGTTGAAACCACTAGAGAATGTCTTGATTTGGCTATTAAATACGTCAAACCAGGTATTGCTTTCAGAGAATTGGGTAACATCATTGAAAAGCACGCTAGTGAAAACAACTGTTCTGTTGTTCGTACTTATTGTGGTCACGGTTGTGGGGAATTGTTCCATTGTCAACCAAATATTCCTCATTATGCTAAGAACAAGGCTATTGGTATTGCCAAGCCAGGTCAAGTCTTTACTATTGAACCTATGCTTAATGCTGGTACTTTCAAAGATGTCACTTGGCCAGATAGTTGGACTTCCACCACCCAAGATGGTAAACCTTCTGCTCAATTTGAACATATGTTGTTGGTTACTGAAGATGGTTGTGAAGTCTTGACTGCTAGAACCGAAACCTCTCCAGGAGGACCAATTGCTAGAGTATAAAAGAGAGAGAGAGGGAGAGAGAGATGGATTTTGAATTTGTCAAGACTATAGTACTGTCAATTTATATTATTTCTTTGTCGCTAACTAAAATATCCAATAGAGTTGCCTCGATTTTTTTGATGGAGTTTTCAAATACTTGTAATTTCTTGTTGAAGGACGTGTTTCCCTTCAGGTTTGGGGCATTATCAAACACACCTCTATTTATAGATATCCCTGGATAATATTCTGTCAATAAAATGTATTGTTCGTATAATTGTTGCAAGAATTTATAATTGTGCCAAGTATCATTCACTTCGAAATTCCCTTTAGAACCAGTCAGTTGCAGAATACATAATCTCATGATTTCTCCAGTGCAATCAAAAATCCCCATAAGATAATCTGAAATATCAATAAATTCAATTGTAGAAACATTTTCTGGATCAGGTAATTCAGTACCCCATATTAGATATTCAATTATTGCTTCAAATTCCGATTCTTCAATAAGCAATTGCATCATAGTTAAAAAATCTTCATATTTAAGTAGTTCAAAATTGAATTTATAATATCCAAAGGTGAAAAATTCAATTAATTCTTCAATTGCTCCTGATATAGTTCCTCTTAAATGGATATTATTAGGATACATTTCTTGAATTTTCTTCAATCGATTACTTAATATTTTAAGATACATTGTCAATTCTTTAATTAGTTCATTCTTCAGTATACCTCTATGCAATGAAAAAATACCTTTCTTAGAATAACTTGTTATATCACGACATAATCTTATGATCTCTTCTCTTTCATCTTGTTTTTCTCTCAACTTATCTCTGGCGGGTATAAAAATAGCGGTTGCAAAATCTGTCATTATTATTAATATTGCTGAGTGATACACAGATGAAGTTTATAAAAGAATTGTAAAGAATTAGATAGAAAACAACAGGAGAAAGACTAAAAAAAAAATTACATATTCTTGGATGAGCAAGTCTCAGAGCAATGCAAAATCGTTAAGAGAATTGGCAAAGGAACAGAAAAAAAAAAATTGACAGTGTGAAAAGTAGTGCGTGTATCTCTCACAAAAATGCGACACCTGGAATCAACAGCGGCGAGAGAGAGAGAGAGAGAGAGAGAAGCGGGTAGAAAAAAAAAAATAAAGAAAAATTTTCTATCTTGTAATAGCTTAAATACGATATTTCATTATTGATACTATCAGTTGGTTAGAATGTCATCTTCAATTCAATTGCTTAATCCAAAAGCAGAATCATTGAGACGTGCCCAAGCTCTACAAGTAAACATTAATGCCGCCCAAGGTTTACAACTGGTATTAGCGTCAAATTTAGGCCCTAAAGGAACATTGAAATTATTAGTTGATGGATCTGGTGGATTAAAATTAACTAAAGATGGGAAAGTTTTATTAACAGAAATGCAAATCCAACATCCTACTGCAGTCATGATTGCTCGTGCTGCTACTGCTCAAGATGAAATTACTGGTGATGGTACCACTACTGTTATTTTATTAGTTGGTGAATTATTGAAACAAGCAGAAAGATTTATCAGTGAGGGTGTTCATCCACGAGTTATTGTTGATGGATTTGAAGTAGCACGTGAAACATCATTAGAATTTCTTGATCAATTTAAACAAAAAGTTGCCTCATTTGATCGTGAATTTCTTTTACAAATTGCTAGATCTTCTTTGTCTACTAAAGTTACTCCTGAATTGGCTGATGTTTTAACTCCAATCGTAACTGATGCTGTTTTAACAGTCAAGGAAGAAAATCAAAGAAACTTGGATTTACACATGATTGAAATTATGACCATGCAACATGGTAGTGCCAGAGATACAGAATTAATAAAAGGATTGGTATTGGATCATGGTGCTAGACATCCAGACATGCCTAAAAACGTCAAGAATGCTCATATTTTGATTCTTAATGTTTCATTGGAATATGAAAAAACTGAAGTTAACTCTGGATTTTTCTACTCTTCTGCTGAACAACGTGAGAAATTGGTTGCTTCTGAAAGAAAATTTGTTGATGACAAGTTGCGTAAGATTATTGAATTGAAGAATGAGGTTTGTCCTTTGAATTCTGATCAAGGATTTGTTATAATAAATCAAAAGGGAATAGATCCAATGTCTTTGGATGTATTAGCCAAGAATGGTATATTGGCCTTGAGAAGAGCTAAAAGAAGAAATATGGAACGTTTACAATTAATATGTGGAGGTGAAGCACAAAATTCTGTGGATGATTTAACTCCAGAAGTTTTAGGTTACGCTGGATCTGTATATGAAAATTCGATTGGTGAGGACAAGTTCACATATGTTACTGAATGTAAGGATCCAAGAGCCGCTTCTATCTTAATCAAGGGATCCAATAGTCACTCTTTACAACAAACCAAAGATGCTATTAGAGATGGTTTAAGAGCTGTTGCCAATGTTATCAAAGATGAATCTATTTTACCGGGTGCTGGTGCATATTGGATGAGTTGTAACGATTATTTATTACACAGTGATGAAACAAAGAAGATCTTGAAGGGTAAGAACAAGTCAGGTATTAAAGCTTTTGCTGAAGCTCTTTTAATTATCCCAAAAACTTTAGCCGCAAATGCTGGTTTAGATCAATTGGATACTATCTCCAATTGTCAAGATGAAATAATTGATGGTCATATTGTTGGTGTTGACTTGAAATCAGGAGAACCAATGGATCCTACTGTTGAAGGTATTTGGGATTCATACCGTGTAGTTAGAAATGCTGTTTCTGCTGCCACTGGTATTGCATCTAATTTGTTGTTGTGTGATGAATTGTTGAAAGCAGGTAGATCTTCATTGAAGGAAGGAGGTGGTCAACCTGGTGGACCACCTGGTGGAATGATGCCTCCAGCTGGAATGATGTAAAGAGTGTAATTCAAAGGCGATTGATAGTTGGTACTCCTCTTTCTCTCTCTTTGTTTTTTTTAATAGAAATATATGTAAGTAAAAGGAATTTTTTTTTTTTGGCCAATTTTGAACGATACTTCAGATATCAAGTCAATAGATTAGGTTCGGTATATTTTTTGAACGATTTCATTTTAGCGGTTGTCACAAAAGAGATGCAGAAATATTACTTTATGAGACGTGTCCGGGCAGCGTCGGAATTCAGTAGTCCTGGTGATACTCGTTATTCTCAATTCTGTACTCCATGTTGAGTTTTGCCTTATTTTCATGCAAACGTTTGCAACCAAAGAAGAAGAAGAAGAAGGGAAAAAAAGGGGGAACAGAGAGAAAGAGAGAGATAAGTAATTGAGATGAGCTGAAATAGTTACTTGAAATTTTAATTTGGTTTTTGTAATTCAATCTTTTTGAAATATCACAATTTCAGTTTGGAACAAGCGTATTAGAGCAAAAATAAAAGAGTCAAAATAGGCAATAAATAAGAAAAGCAAAACAAAACAAAAAACAGACCATTTTCTATTACTATTCCAAAAATAAAGACGAGATGTACGATTCATTAAGTTATTTGACTTTCTTATTTGTTCATTTCAACTCTCGAAGCAAATCGTCCAGTCCAAAACAAAAAAAATAAAGAAAGTCGTACTTTTAACATGACTCAATGGTAAAGGTATTACGATTCATTGAAAATAAACCCTTAGTAATAGTTTTAAATGATTGCAAATTTCCGATACAATTACCAATCTTGCCTGGTGTAAGAGAACGGAGGTGGTCCCCTATGGCGGAAATATGAGTGATCCTGTAGTGTAATGCAGTGTATTCTGTATAATCTAAAGGAATTTTTTTTTTTTTCAACCACCTCTAGTTTCTAGCGATAATTGTTGCAAACGACATGTAGAAAGTAAAAGAGCCTAACTGTTTATTTATTGAAAATCCGGAATCTCGGAATAACATAGAATTTAACATCAACAACAACAACAACAACAATAATAATATTAATAATAGTAACTAAATACATAATGTAGTGGAAGTATACGTGTGTGGTGTGCGTAGATGCATACATTTTGGTTCAGTCTCGATCATACTTTTGTAACCCTGGAAAAATAAGCCCCCAAAAAAATAGCACATTCCTATTGTGTAACGCCGTATGTATAGATGAGGAAATGTGGGTAATTGTTTTTGGGGGACTACGTTTTGTATTTCTTTTTGTTTAGTACTAAACTTACATTAGATACATTTTTTAGTTCGTGTAAGGAAGTAGGTTTTCTTGGGGGTGGAGGTGGACGATAAAAGAAAGAACTAATTTTATGCTTGTAATTATGCGTAATAGAGAATAGGCTCAACGTGTGTGTGTGTGAGTTTACAAGCTAGCAAAAAATAGAAGGAGAAAGCGCAAAGGTAAGGGAATCTGATTGTTCTTTCAATATTTATTCCCTATTTTTTAAAGTTGAAATGCGATTATCGTTGCCATATCATTATTTTATTTCTACACACCTGCATGAGGCAAATTAAGGACAAATAAAATAAATAAAATAAAATAAAAATTTCAAAACAAGTTTATTATAATGAGAATCAATGAATAAAGATGATAAAGCTATCAATAATACAAACTATAAAACGTGGACGTTAATTATACAAAAAAAATTAAAATATTGAACAAAAATAAAAATTAATCAATTCTCCACATAATCATGTGATTGAGATTAGAAACCTTACAATCGCACACACACAGACACACACAGACACGTAACTCGACTAAGAGTCCTCTTACGATTTAGTTATTGTTTTGCTCTGGTTGACTTTCGCAATTTTTTTTTTCAAGTGAATAACAAAACTCGCAACTACTCTTCGACAACAATAACCACACAATCAATGCAAAATTTATTAATTTGAAAACAAAAAGACTACAAAATTACAAATCAAATTAAAAGGAGAAGATATGTGACTGGGTGTCACACTCCAGGCTAGCATGCATGCATGTATGCATCACGACGTAAGAAACTATATGTGTGTGTGTAATTTTTTTAACACTTTGCACAGTTCACGTATCCTCGCTCAATTTCTCAAATTGGACAAAAGATTTTATTTTTGTAAACATCAAATACTTTTAAACGCCTTACATTGTGAATTATGATTATGCGTTATGTTTGTATTTGAAGGTTGATTCTGTTGTCCGTCACTAACAATAAAGATGATTGAATGGTTTATATTTGCTTCTCCTATGTTTTAGTTCAGTTTTAAGCGAAGTTTTATTTTAAAAGAAAGCTAAAGAACTCAACACACGCGCACAAGGGTAGAAGAGTCTATTTCTCTGTCGATATTTAAAAGAATTGATTGCCTTACATGAAAGTTTCGGCCCGATAGCGCTAGCACTATTTCATTTTCTTTTTTAACGATGTCAAATGCTAAATATCTAAGTCGATGAGTTGCCATTGAATTGTTTCCAGGTAGTGTTTCTTAAAATATTGTCTATACTAAATTAAGAAACCACATAGCCCCTTGACATACAATAGGCTACCGTAATATTCATCAGTCTAGAACAACAACCTTGTGATTTAAAAGAAAAAAAAAAACAGCCTTTATCTTGTGTAAAGAAAAACTAGAGAATAATATAGACCAAATGGTGTATGAGAATCTCAGCATTTTATTGTCTATTGAAAGTGTCGAAAATTGCAAAAAACAAAAATAAAAAAGAAACAAAACGAAACAGAAAAGGAAAGGACAATTGCATCACAAAATTATGTAATGAACAACAAGCAGTATGTGCTGAGATGAAATGCAAAATATGCCCGTGGACAAAGAAACGTATGGAACTATTGTATCAAGACAAACCGATGAAGCTCCAAGAAAGAAAGAAAGGGTTGGTTAGACATTATAATTGTGTTCACGGTCTAATGAATCTGGAACTTATCTCATTGGCAAATCCTTTTGTATATGTATACATATCTTTTTGTTTCGAGATTCAGATTACAGATACGATCCTTCTTTGATGATAAAGAATAAGAAGCCATGCTACATTTTGTTTTTTTTTGTCTACTTGAAACAAATGAGGGGAATGAATATCAGTGAGCAAATGAATTATCAAGTGAATGTGAAAAAATAATTTTAAAAAAAAAAACTTCAACGATGATCTTTATAGAAAAAAAAAAGGGAAATCAGACTTAGAGTTGAATTTTATAAATATTATCCTTTTTGTTTGCGCTTATTAAACTATTGATTGGATATGAAGTCTGTTTATGAATGTTTTCTCTTGAAAATTAGAGCAGGCTTGTAATGATAAATGGGCCACAAGTTCGGTTTTCGCCAAGGGTATGCCGAAACACAATTGCATGAATAGAACCTTCTTCTTCTTCTTCTGTTTTCTATCTATTCTTCACTTACTTCTTGATGCTTCTTTCTATTTCTATTTCTCTTTCCCACAACTTTGGTTGATGAAATTTAAACTTTTTTGCACTTGCTATAACCATTTCATACAATTTTCATATTTGAATTTGAGTTACTGTCAGTTTTTGGTTTTTGCTGTTTTGCATGGTGCGTGCTAAAGTGCACAAAAACGGGAGAAATCAGATCATAATAAAGAAAAAAAATTTTTAAAATACAAAAGGAATTAAAAAATAAAAACCATGTCGTCATCAATACTGAATGGAAATACTTATAAATGTTAAATGTACGAGAAATACTAAAATCGGAATTTTTAAAAATAAAAAGACTTTAGTTCTATTTTGACCCTAGTTGATTGATAATTTAGTTGAACTATTGACCCATTAGCTATCCAACTGATTACAGATTTACTATTTGAAAATTCCTCCACCGTCATCTTCCTTACCAGTGGCGTTTTCCTTTTCTCTTTTTTTTTTTCTTTTCTTTTATTTTCCATGTTGGTTCCTTATGTTCAATTACTCTTATGTAACACAAACTAATTCATGAGGGGGTGTAGTGTTTCTGATCACACAAACTTAACCCAGAGACATTTTCATGTCCATCAGGATTTCTAAAAAAAAAAGGATAGCAATATTGTTTCACAGAGGCTGAGCGGGTTAAATGCAACAAGGTCAGGATTCTCAAAACCATTACTAAAAGAAAAATAATACTAGTGGGATTAATTCCGTGTCCAGATTTTTTTTTTTTTTTTGTGTGTGTGTGTAGGCCATTACCTCTTCAACAAAACTTTACCTTTGTTAATGGCACCTATCATTGATAATTATATATTGATCTATTTTGTGTGAAAACCATATTAACTTTACTAGTAAATTAGAATTTGATGTACTTGTAAGGGCAAATAGAGTTCCACAAATCAAATCTAACCGCCTTAATTTGCCTCAACTTGGGGGCAATGAATAATAATAATAATAGTAATAATAATAATAATAATACAAAGTAGCAAACATTATATCCAACAGTGATTCTTAACAAACATCCGTTATTCTTGCATTATAGCAAGATTGTAATTGATATGCAACGGGAATTACACCACCTGGGAATAAAACAGGGCCAAGTCATTTGTTATTTCAATACAGCCACAATTACTTTTTGTTTTAGTCGCAACGTAACAAATTTATGTACCATGATTATTGTTAATTCCATTTTTGTACTCGCTTTATTTTTGCAATTATGTACAGTTACATAAACTTCTATGTATATTACCAATCAAAACATTTCACATACATTTGTGAATTTAACTACAGGTAAAAGAAGCTTACTAAGTATTGTTTCTTTTTCCTTTTTTTTTTTGGGCATCTCGTAGGTCGCAAGCTTTGTTGCATAACCAACAAACTCAAGTGTGTATCCTGACACTTTTTTGTCAGTTCTTATTATTATTATTATTCTTTTTTTTTTTTATCTTCTTCAATACTTATTGAGTTCATTAAAGTTAAAACCGCAAATCTTTGATTTCCACGTACACATTAACCCACATTATTACATTGATAGTAGAGTTACCAAGGTTATGAACACTTTTGAAATTTGTTTGATTGTAAGGTTTTCTCTCTTTCTCTGGGTTTACTTCAATGATTTTACCCCAATTTACAGGATTTCCATGATGTTATCAAAGCAAAAAAAAAAAAATTAAACACGAAACACATTTTCATATACTGAAGCGCTTGACTGGAGAGTTATGGAGAGTAATCAAACTAGTCAACAAGAGCAATATAGAGATCAATTTTTGGACATCACCAACTTGAAATAAAAAATAACAATCAATTAACAACAGCTGCATAGCTCTTTCTTATTTACTAACCCTTCAAGGTGAAACAACAACAACAATTAAGAATGTGTCTAATTATTTAATACGGAAACATGGACCCAATCAGTCCCTAGACTGTGTGGTGGGATAAAAATTTATCTGCTATGATTAGACTTTTCTTTTCATTTCTTTTTCTTTTTTTTTTTTGTTCGTTTACCAATTGGTTTCTAATGATTAACAATGGTTCTAAATTACCTTGTTCTATCAATTTGAAAAACGTCTACGAGAAGAACATGTTGAAAGAATGGAAATTAGAATTGTTAAAAAAACAAAGACAAAGCAGTCAAGGAACAAAGATAAATGTCGTGTCCCCCACAAAGGCACTTGGAAATGTGTTCACCATATTAATTCATAAAGTATTTGTCATCTGAGTATATTTATAAGGTTATGCAACCTTCCTTAGTTTTATACGTCCCGTTGAATAAGTTTGCGATTGTTTCTGAATGATTTGCTTCAATATGTGATACTTTTCTTTTTAGAAATACATATAAAACAAAAAAATATATAAAAAAAAATTTGAATACTCAGTACATCGCCTTGTGGAATTTAAAATTAGTCTTGAAATTCATGTTCTAGTTTTAAGTGATACTACAGAATGCACAATGCAGAACTTGTAAAGCAATATTTATCTTTATTCCCACTAAGAAACAAAAATAAAAAAAAAAAGCAAGTGTCCCCTTTTTGTGTTGATAGACTTTGTAATTTTACCTCTTTCATACTTTAAGAAAAATTTTAGTTCCTTTTGTTTCTTTCTAAATAGATTTAAGGATTTGTTTTTCTTTTGGTTAAGAAGAATGGCAAGAACAATATAAATATCAACTTGATTTTCAAAAGTAAAAGAAAAAAAAAAAATTCGAAAAAAGTAAAATTTCCGAACCCCCTATAAATACTAAACAACCAATCCTTAGGTAACAGGTGTCTCAGGAATACTGTTTTTCATATTTATTCCATTGCTGTTTTATTTTTCTTTTCTCAGCTAATTAAGTTACCTTCTCCATTAAAACTTCATTTCATTCAAAAGAAAATTGGAGTGACATCTTGTGACACAATCAACAATTTGAGAAAAGAAGAAGAAGAAGAAAAAAAAAGAAGTTCAACATTTCTCCGTATCGTTTTGTTTAATTCTCAATTGAGATTTTATCAAGTTCCCCCATTTATATCTAATCATTTGGGATCTGTTTTTTTTTCTATATTTGCCCTTTCTTTTTTCAATTAGATTAACTTCACATCAATAATCATCAAGATTAAATATTAGATATATCTAGAATTTGGTTGCAAGTTTAAAAGAAAGAGAAGTCCCTTTGTTTATATTTACGTCTTGATTTTTGATTTTTAATTTTTCAGTTCGGATATTTTTACCCACCACCCATACCCGTTTCCAAATCCATACCCCCAAAAAACCCACTACATACAGAAATTTCAGTTACGTGGTGCATTTGAATTTACAACAACCAACACCCATCTTTCCAATCATACCAAGTATCATTCGTCACGTTATTGAAGAGAATCCAAATATCAATTGATTTCTCCTCCCACCACCAACAAGAAGAAACTTATTTCATAACCAACGGAATCTATAGATTTTAAAGTGTTTCTCAAAAGTACGTGGGAATTACATAACCGTACATATTCTGCTACATTTAAATTCGGGTTTAAAATTTTTTTTCTGTGCTTTAGAATTTGTAATTTTTTTTTGTTTTTTTGTTTTGGCACGACAGATTTGGACACTTTTAATCTATTTATTTTATTATTTTGATAGTCCTTATCGGAGTTCACGAGTTATTATTTAATAGATCGACTCACCTGTGAAATCAAATTTATCAAGAAGTATCAATCGAGGATTTGTCAATTTGTTTTGTGAGAGACGTTTTCATAATTTTAGATTCACCTTTTGGTTTGTATTATTATTTTCTTTTCTGCCTCCACCCTCCATTGTTGAAATTTAGGTGCCCAACTGCATTTTTATTTTTTTTGAGGAGACGCACACACAGAGAGAGAGAGAAAAAGAGAGACAACCTTTTTGTCATTTGAAAACAGAGGAAAAGATTTGAATCACGAAAACGAAATAAAATAATAATTATAATAATAATAATAATACAGGAAAGCAAAAAAAAAAAAGAAAAATAAAAAATTAAGATTGAAGGAACAGAAAAATCCCTTACACATTTTTGACAACCTAGAGATTCATCCAAATAATAACGTGAATTTTAATTTATCAACACAGGTTATTTTACATCCATTATTTGGCAGCATATATCTAGAATCCTGTTGAATAATCATTTACAACCAACTATCATACATACTTATCTGGTCTCCACCCATCCCACTCCCCACAGACAGAGAGATAGGTGAAAATAACAACCATCAACTTGCCTCCTGATTACAATAGCATCGTAGATGAAATATAATTCACTAAAGCATACAAATCTCACTATTATAAGACAATTAATCAATCTAACACCTTATCATTTCATATTTGTATTCTGATCTATTGGCGTTAATCAAAGGTAACAATTTTATTACAACAATCAACTTGCCCACACTCATTTGATTTGATTTTTTTTTTTTTTCCTATTATCATTTTTCCTCCTTTTCATTTTTGGGTTTACACATTTTAATTTATTTGGTGCAAGAACAAAAGGTAAAAGACAAGTGATAATCCTGTTCAATTATTATTCATTTAAAGAATCATAAGTATCAAGACTTCTGTTCCATAATTGACATTATCGGGTATTTCTTTTTTATTTTTTTTTTTTCTTAACATTTAAGGAATCATACATCAAAGCACGTCGCCAGACTTTAGAAAATTCACTAAAAGGACCCTTACCTTATCTACTAGTACTCCTGGTTAAAGAAAAGAATAGAGAAGAAGAAAAAGAAGAGAAAAAAATTTTTTTTTTGCAACAATTGGAATCCAGATCTATAATTTTTATTAACTTAGGATTATCATATTTATTTTATATTATTTTGGTTTTTAACTAGAAGTATTTTTTTAATCATTTGATTTAGCATAATATTTACACAAATCATGAGTAATTTATCTAATCCTAATTGGAATGAGAACCCTAATGGAAGCAAACTAGGAAATCCACCAGCTCCACGTCAAGCGTCAATTACAAGCAATCCATCAAATTCTAATATTATGCCACCTACACCTGGGTCTACAGGTCCACATCATCCAATGCCACCACATTTTGCTACTGATTATTCAAGAAATGTTCCAGTTCCAGGCCCTGGTGTTCCTCCATTCCCACTACAACAAAACCAACGAGCTTATCTACCGAATGCGGCATACACAATGCAGCAAAGTCGCGAAAAGCTACAGCCAGGACAAGCTCCACTCCCGCAACAGCAACAACAGCAACAGCCAATGTATCATCAGTATCCACCTCAACCTATGGGATATCTTGCTGCAGATATGTATAATAATCCTCAACAACAAGAGTATCAGCAAATGAATCATTTACAAAATCAACAATATAATTTGCAGCAACGTCAACAACAACAACAAGAACCATCTCAAACTTCTAACCAAAAAGGAAAACAGCAGCAACCACAACAACAACAACTCCTGCCACAACATCCACAGACAGGAGCACCTGTTCCTGTTCAACAATATCCTGTTGCCCCTGAATACAATGCGGCTTACCAAAGCCAGCCATCAATATCAGGTCCACCAGATCATCATCAACCTCAACAACATCAAGTACAAGGTCCTCCGCCTCAACATTGGGAAGGTTACCCTCCACAACCACAACATGGACCAATTGATTCTCAAGTTCCTCCTGGTCAACTACAGCAACAACCATCCCGTCAGTTTCCACCTACAGGTCAACCACCTCATGAAGAGAAGAAGAGAGGTAGAAAACCAAAGTCAAGAAAGGCTTCGGATTCAGGTATAAATACTAGTCATCAATTAGGGGGTCAAGTACGATCAACATCCGTTGGTGGTACTGGAAAACCTGTTACAAAGAGATCACGTATGGGATGTTTGACATGTCGTCAACGGAAAAAGAGATGTTGTGAAACGAGACCAAAATGTACTGAATGTGCACGTCTTCGGCTCAATTGTGTCTGGCCAAAACCGGGAACAGAACATAAGAATAAACCAAAAGATCAGAAGGAAGATGAAAATACAATTGAACATGCAGAGTTTGGTCGAATCAAAGTGTTGAGAGGTATTGTTGAATACCGAAGCAAATGAGAACCAAAGGAGAACAATGGTATAGTCAATATCAACTAAACATATGCATAAATAAACACTTGTTTGTTTGATATCATGGTTTAAAATAAAATTGGAATACAAGTGGATACAGAAATAATTAAAATGAAAATTCCATCTACATAGATTCATGGATAATGGGTTGTATTGTTACTGTTTTGTTTTGACTTTCTTGTTTGTCGTTGCTTTGAGTTTTTTTAATGTATTACTGGACACATTGATATGAGTTTTATATATATAGCTTGATTATGTTTTATTTTTTATATGTTTTTTTTTTTTTTCATTATCATTAGTTTTGATAATGATTATGTTGTTAGTAAGTTTATACTTGTTATTAATTAAAATAAATATTGTATTATTATTCTTTTAATTGTCATAGGATTCTGTATGTGCTCGTAGTAATATATAGTATGTTTTCTAGTCGACTTGGTTCCTCCTCCATATATGCAAACGGGAAGATAGACAACAACAACAACAAAAGGAGAGCTCAGCAGAACCAACAATATTCTGAAAATCACAGTCGCCCAAAAAAAGAAAAAATACGTAAAATTCGTGTACGAACTGAAAAAAGGTAGAAAGAGCCAGAGCGAGAAATAAATTAAAAAAGCAAGAGAAAAAAAAAAAAATAACGAGAGCAAATCTTGAAAAGACAGCAAAATTGTTTACAACCAAAACAAGTTGGCCACTACAAATCAATAGAACAATTCATTTGATACATTCAACATTATAATGTCCCTTGATTTGTCATTACGAGATAGACAGATCTCTGTCTTGCAGAAGATGCTTCATTTGAATAAAGAAGGATCGGCTGATTTAACATTGGCTTCCAAATCGGAAGAAATAATCTGGAAAGTGTTGGTTTTAGATACAAAATCAAGAGCCATTTTATCATCTGTATTAAGAGTCAATGATTTATTAAAATGTGGGATAACTGTTCATGCATTGATCACTTCTAATAGAGCAAGTTTACCTGATGTTCCAGTTATTTACTTTATTGAACCAACTATTGAGAATATTTTAGTGGTTATTGATGATTTAAATCAAGATAAATATGATAGTTTCTATATTAATTTTACATCACTGATAAACCGTGAATTATTGGAGGAATTTGCCAAAAAGGTATCAATTTCTGGAAAATCACAAAAGATTAAACAAGTTTTTGATCAATATTTAGACTATATTGTCACTGAACCCAACTTGTTTTCATTGAATTTACCACAAATTTTCACTCAATTCAACAGCTCCAATACTTCAGAAGATAAGATCCATGGTCTTGTTGATGTTATTGCAAATGGATTGTTATCAACAATTATTTCAATGGATATTGTTCCAGTTATACGAGCACAACAAAATGGTCCAGCAGAATTTGTTGCTCAACAATTGGACTTGAAGTTAAGAGAATATCTCAGCAATACAAGAGGAAGTACCACCGCCACATCGTCGATTCAACAACGTCCAGTTTTGATCTTGTTGGATAGAAACTTTGATTTGACATCAATGTTTTCTCATTCCTGGATTTATCAATGTATGGTAAGTGATGTTTTCCAATTGCAAAGAAATACCATCAAACTTGTCAAATACGATGGTGAACAAAGTACAATCAAGAATTATGATGTTGATCCTAAAGATTTCTTTTGGAACAAATACTCTCAATTACCATTCCCAGATGTAGTTGAAAATGCCGATGCTGAATTGAATGCTTACAAGAATGATGCTAAAGAAGTCACCAACAAGACTGGTATTAGTTCATTGGATGATATTGATCCAAATGCTAATGCTACTGCAAACATCCAACAAGCAGTAGAAAAATTACCTGAATTGACAGCAAGAAAGGCCACTTTGGATATGCATATGGATATTTTGTCATCGTTGATCAATGAATTACAAGCCAAGAACTTGGATAAATATTTTGAAATTGAACAAAATGCCATGGATCCAAAGGTTTTGAATGAATTTTTGGAATTGTTGGTTGTTGAATCGGAGAGAGACAATTCAGAAGATAAATTAAGAACTTTTGTTATATTAACATTATTGGTAGATTTGACTCCAGAATATATCTCCAAGGTTAAATCAATCTTCCAACTGAAATATCCCCAAGTTGATTTGTCTAGTTTTGATTATATCGTAAAATTCAAAGAAAACTCCAAGTTAGCCAATTTGTCTTCATTAAATGGTACTAGTAATAATTTTACCAACCAAGCCTCACAAATGAATTCTACTGCCTTGTTGAGTGGTTTATCTTCTAAACTTTATGGATTAACAGAAGGTAAAATCTCAGAAGGTTTGACTTCAATTGCGACAAAAATCAAGAACTTCATTCCAGAAAAGAAATTGTTACCTATAACAACCATTGTTGAAGCTATAATGGATCCAACTAATGCATCACAACAAAGTGTACAATTAACAGATGAATATTTGTTTCTTGATCCCAAGTCTAGAGGTGGCCATTCTAAACCACCAAAGAGACAATCATACCAAGAATCATTGGTGTTTATTGTAGGTGGTGGTAATTATTTGGAATACCAAAACTTGGAACAATGGGCTAGTGATCCAAATAAAGTTGCCAAAAAAGTCATATATGGAAGTACTGACATTATTTCGGCAACTGACTTTTTACAAGAATGTAGTATTTTAGGTAAATGAAATTAATACACAATAAAGAAGAAGAAGAAGCAGAAGAAGAAACATACATGTGTTGTGGTTATTTTACGTTTATTTATAAGTTTACATGAACAAATCTATCTAAAGGAAATTTTTATTTTCTTGCAACACTTTTGTAGAACGGCGAGAGTCCAAGAATAACAATTCACATTCCTCGATATCTTGAATAGTAATTTCTGAACGTCCAGCAGTTGTACTTAAAACACCAGCAGGTGTTAATAATTGTAAAGCATAACGCAAAGAAGTTGTTAAACCTTGTTTGGCTAATTTTTCCAAAGCATCATCAGTTAATGTTAATCCTTCTAAACTAGCTCTCTTTCCGATAATAGTTTTGATTTCATCTTGATTGTAAGGTAAAGTTCTAACGATTAACAATCTATCGATTAAATCTGGCGGACATCCATGTGGTGCTTTAGTTCCATCATCTGATCCTCTTACAGTAGTTAAGCCTCTATTTGACGCCAAGACAACAATTGGAGCTATTGAACTTTCCAACGCACGGTTCAAATAAGTGAAAATTTCCATATCCAACATATTCACTTCATCGATAAATAAAACACCTGGGACTAATTCAGCAACACCTTGTTCGATATATTTGGAAACTACTTTATTAACTTCTGTTCTCAATTTATCAGTGATTTCAGTTTTTTTAGGTTTTAATAATTGTCCCATCATAGATAAAACATCTTGACCACCTTGAGGTCTAGCATTAGCTACATCCAAATCATGTAATGTAACATCTTGAACAATTTCTTTCTTTTTATGAACTTCACCTTTAGGTAATGGGACGTATTCTTCGGCTTCTAAATCAAATTCAGTAGCATAGGCATCAGATCTACCCACACGTTTAACAGCACCAGTATTGGCTTCAATATAAATAACATCACCAATAGTAACTCTTTCCTTTTGAATACTTTCATATATAACAGGATCTAATCTTAAAGTTTTGGTACCCTTTGCTGTTTTCAAACCAACAATAACATGACTGATAGTTTTCCCATATCCACCTAATGGATTATCTGCTTCTTCAGGAGTTAATTCAATAACTTCACCTTCATATACTTCTTTAGTTTCTTTAATTCTTAATCCAATAGCTCTTCTGAAATTTTCCATCAAGGCCAGAGTTTTTTTAACTTCAGCAGAATATAATTCAGAACCAACAATAGGACAAAATGGAACTTTTGGTCCTAATTCTTGTGATATAGCTAATGCTAATGCAGTTTTACCAGTAGCTGGTGGTCCTGCTATTAATACAGCTTTACCTGACATTTTCTTTGATTTAATTAAATCAACAATTATACCACAAGCTTCACGAGCTTCATTTTGTCCAACAAATCCACCTTCTATTGGTTTAGCAATTCCTTGTTCATTTAATCCTAAACCTTTAATATGTGTATGTGCTGAAGTTCTACTTTCTCTAGATGATTGATCATCTTTAACCTCTGTTATCTGAACCATGACTAATGACTTATTCTTCTTGTCGTTGTTGTTGTTGTTGTTGCTAACGATGATGGGTTTAGAATTTTTTTTTTTTTTTTTTCCTTTCTGGCTGTTTTGCCTATGTTTGAATTTTTTTTTTTTTCGTTTTGTTTGTTTCTACACTTATTAGTGTGCGACATGGAAATAATATGTGTGCAACAACACATCGATGATGATCTATAATATATATATATTTAATCTATTTAAAATACTTCATCAGGTAATTCGACTTCATCATTTGGTTCTTTTGGTTCTTGAGATTCACTCCATTGAGTAACATCATCAATATAACTTAAAATTGTTTCCACACTTCTACTATCTTTTGAACAATCCAATGGTAAAAATTGAACCATCCCAAAATCATCAACTAAACTAGCAATCGATTGAGTTAATTTAGTAAATTTTGGATTAGCATAATCTTCTTCTTTAGCTAATAATAAAGGATCAGGATTTAAAAATTTCTTTAATTGTTTCTTACTATATTCATCTTTAACTAAATCTATCTTTGATAAAATATTAATGTGTGGTAATTCTAATAAAATCATTGCTGACATTGCACTTAAAGCACCTGAGAAAAATTTTGAATTATCAATTATAAATGGAGCCTCCAATAAATAAGTTGCACATAAATTAAAATTCAATGAAGTTTGTAAATGTTTAACAATAGTTGGTAATACAGGAATATGAGTATATAGTTCAATTTGTCCAGGACAATCAAATATTAAATATTCATCGTTATAATCTCCAATTTCTTCATCTAGCCAATCTAAATTATTTAATAAAAATTCAAAACAATAAATTAATCCTCCATTTGGTCCTAATTCCATTTCTTCCATAACATCTTGTAATGATATTAAATCTTTAACATCAATAGTAAATTCATATTCTGTTGGATTGGCTGCTGGATCTAAATTAACTATATGTGCTCGACGTCCAATGGATTGCATGTATGCAATCATGGAATTACAAAATGTAGATTTACCAACACCTGCTGGTCCTAATACTAATACTCCTGTTCTTGACATCGTTGTTGTTACTATTGAAAAGGCGAACTCAAATGGGAAATTTTTCAATCAAAGAGGAAGAAGGATTTCCATAGAACTTCTTTTTTTTTTTTTTTCTTTTTTGCTGGAAAGACGATACATTAAGATGAATCGTGCATTTACCAAATGCAAGGAAATCTATATGGATTTATTTATTACTAATCAACGAAATACATACTATGAACGACACCAACAGTCATCATAATCGTTTTCAACTTGAATCATTACATCCATGTGTCTGCTTTCAAACATTTTTTCACACTGTTTTTTAATATATGATGTATTTTCACCACGATAAACTTGAACATGAACATACCCAGAAATATGTTTATTGTTATCTGGCCAAAATCTAGGGGTTGTAAAAGATTTAACACCTTTTATTTGAGTGATCTCACGTAAAGTATTTCTAATTTCGTCCTCCTTAGGTTTGGAAATACTTAAGAGTAATGTCGAAGCAGTAGATTTCACTAATGGAACAGCAGATACAAAGATCATAGTAGCAATGATTATTGATGCAATAGGATCAAACCCATCCCAATGAATACATTTAGTTAAGATTGTAGAAATAACAACTCCCACAGACCCTAATGCATCAGCAATTATATGGAGAAAAATTCCTCTCATATTATCATTCATATGATCATGAGAATCTGATTTTGGTTTTAATAAGTTATCATTTGAATCATGATGGTGATCACTGTGAGGATGTTCATGTCCATGTGAATGTTCATGGTGGTGTTCTGACGTATCATGACTATGCGAGTGTCCATGACTGTGTCCGTGACCATGGGCATGACCATGATTAAATGCAAATATACCAACAAGATTGACCAATAACCCCAAAATTGACACAACAATCAACTCAGTCGTCTTCTGTAAATGCACAGGATTGCTTAATCTTCCAATTGCTTCCAAGAAAATAGTCCCACTGATACCAATTAATAATGTCCCATTGGTAAACCCGGCCAAAATCTCAAAGTTCTTTAATCCAAATGGGTATTTCCCGTTGGGGTCAATCTCTTGCTTCGATAAAACCCCAGCTATAAGACCCAAAATCAATGACATACAATCTAGGGCCATGTGTAATGAATCTGACAATAATCCCAATGATTTTGATCTAAACGAATACAAAAACTGAACAAACATAAAAGTGGCATTCAACAAAAGGAAATTAAAAATGGCTCTTGTATCAGAATGCTCCATTAATTCTTTTAAAATTGGTGATCCGGGACGGTTTTGAGAGCAAAATTCGTGCTCTTCAAAAAGGTATGATTTATCTGGGGTAATTACTATAGCAAGACAAATATTAATTAATTGTTGTAAAGATGGTGGTCTTGATAACACAACATACATCAATGTTTCCACAATTACTGAAATAAGAACTGCAGATAATCTTGTGTCTCTCATTTGGAATTCTTGCAAGGAGATAATAACAACAATAAATGTCGCAATACAAACACCAATCATACTAAAGTTAAATGCAGATGGGTTATACAAAACAAGTGCGATGGCTCCCAAAATCAGAATCCCAAAGACAGTTGGCTTATCTACTGATGACAACAAGTTGGACACGGATGTCAGTCTCAACTTGCGTGAAATCAAGTTGAACCCAAGTAACACCAACCCATATGTAAGGAAAACATGCAACCCATAGAACTCCTTGTAATTGGAATAACAATCAAAGACAAAAGCTAATGGGGTATATAAGTTCCATGCATTTAAGAATAATCCAAAATACAATATGGCAATTCTACTTGCTGGCATGAATGACGCTGATGTGAAAATGATATAAAAAGTTGATAGTAAATAAATAGTGTTGAATTTACTTGGTTCTCCAGACAGTGAATTTGTTCTGCTTATTGGTAGTACATTCATACGGAATGCTAATATTACTATCGTTAGACTAATGGAAGCAAGGAATATATTTAGTAGAACTGTATTTTCATATGAGTACTCAAATGAAGTACTTAGACTATGGGATAGGAATATAATAGGAAAAGCCACAAGAAATGGCAATGAACCAAAACATTTCGTCAACGATATGGAAGAGTCATATCGACTCTTGGAATCCATCTTCAATATAAGTTGTTGTTGTTATTACTTGATTAAAAGAACAAGTTATGTTAATGTTTGGTGAAGAAGAAGAAGAAAAGAACAAAACTAAAAAAAAAAAAAAAAGGATCAACCGTGTGTAAGATTGTGAATAAAAATTTGGCGTGGGAAAGGGGGCGAGGACGACAACGACAGCAAACCAAAAATAGAAAAAAAAAAAGATTGTCGAGCCAGGAACGCACTAAAACAGGTCGTGGCACCTGTGTTAATGTATACCGGTAACCAGGCATGGATTTTACTTTTTTTTTTGTTCTCCCCGTTGTCCCTTAGTATTTGGATCGACATAAAAATACGACTTAGGCAGGGTACATATAAAATTTGATCAACATGCATATCCTATTTCTTTTCAATAGGGAAAATTACAAAATAATTACAACTCTCGATTACAATTAATCATATATATAAACATATCTCTATATAAAAATCTCTAAAATTATTTCATTTATTGAATAACAATTTTTTCAACGTCAAATTTCTTTGGGGAAATACCCATGTTTCCAATGTATTGTCTGGCTTCTTTTCTCAATCTATCTTCAGTTTCTTTATCCCAGCCGTACTCTTTACTCATGATTTCAACAACGCCATCAACGGCATTAAGTGCTTCTCTGGCGTTCAAGAATGCTAATCTTGTTCTTCTAGCCAAGAAATCAAGTGGAGTTCTTGGGTATTCGTATTTCAAGGAGTATTTCAATTCAGCAACGGTAAATGGTTCATCGAAACTTTGATAACTTAATTGGTTATCTTCATTGGCACTTTTAACTGATGGTTCAAATTCTTTAGCCGCAGCCAAAGTGACTGGCAATTTGTTGTAATCACTTTCAGCATACAAGTCCAAGACCAAAGGAGCTCTAGAACCATAATTGTGTGACAAGTGCTTAGCCAATTTCAATGGGATTTTGTATTCATGGATTAATCTGGCAGAATAGTTCTTGGTATAGTTTTCACCACCAACCAAAATCAATTTGTTGGTTTGACAAGGTAAAATCTTTTTGTCACCATAGTTGAAATGGTCAACAAGGTAATCGACAGTTTCTTGGGCCATTTCTCTGTAAGTGGTCCATTTACCACCAGAAATGGTGACCAAACCAGTTGGAGATTGAACTAACAAGTGGGAACGAACCAAACCTTCGGTTTTACCAGAAGCTTCTTGACCTTTTGGAATAGTAGATGGGTCTCTGACTAATGGTCTGATACCTGACCAAGCAGATAAGACATCGTTTCTATCAATTGGGAAGACAAGGTATTTTTGCATTTCTCTGATAATATCTTGAATTTCTTCTTCGGTTGGAACTGGGTTTTCAGGGACTTTCTTTAATGGAGTATCAGTAGTACCGGCCAAAACTTTACCTTTGCCATGGCAAGAAGAACATAACTCTTCCATCAGAAGTAGAAGGATCTAACAAACCATAAGTAGTTGGACAGTAGTATTCAGGTAAGACAATGTGGACACCGGAGGATGGCACAACCATTCTTGGTGGTTGTTCGACTTTTGGTGGTAAACCTTTTGGATCTTCATCCATTTCCAAAATCTTGTCAGAAAATGGACCGGTAGCATTCACAACACTGGTAGCCTTGATTTCATAGGTTTCATTGGTTTCCAAATCCTTGGCTCTGACACCGTACAATTTACCTTTATCGTCTTTCAACAATTGTTCAACTTCAAAGTAATTCAAAACAGTAGCACCATTCTTAATAGCAGTGGTGGCCAAGGAGACATTGTATCTGGTATCATTAAAACTACCATCATGGTAAACACAGGCAGCTTTCAAGTTAGAAGTATCCATCATTGGGGCAATGGCAGCAGCTTGTTCGGTGGTGAAAATAGTGGAAGAACGCAAGTTTTGTTTACCAGCAAACCAATCGTACATCTTACAACCGGCAAAGAAATAAGGAACTTGCCACCAGTTGTAAACTGGAATCATGATTGGTAAAACAGAACACAAGTGAGGAGCAGTTCTCAACATGTTACCTCTTTCATTTAAAGCTTCAATAACCAAATCCAATTGAGCTCTGGACAATTGAAAAATGGCTTTTTCCAAATAACGAACACCACCATGGGCCATTTTGGTTGATTTAGAAGAAGTTCCGGAACCGAAATCAGTTTTTTCTAAAAGACACACATTCATCCCACGAGTGGCAGCATCAACGGCTGTACCAGTACCAACAGCACCACCACCGATGACCAAGACATCAAATTGAGTAGTTTTCTTCAAGTTACTCACCAATGACTCACGAGAAGGTGGGGGTGGGATGTCTTTATTAAATGGAGCATACGAAGTAGCCAAGTGTGGTTCATTTTTTGGTTTAATGAAATCCAAATAAACAATTGTACCACCAACGGCAGCTCCAGCGGCTAACACCGACTTTGCAAAGGTTGACTTTAAAAATCTTGACATTTTGTGTAAGGATTATACTTTTTGTTTATGTATTCTCTTCTATAGCGGTTTTTTTAGTATCGATAGGTTCTTTTTTGTTTTGTTTCAGGGGAGGGTTAATTTCTATTGAATAGTTATATGACTAGGATCAAAGGAATGACAACGACAAAAAAAAAGCTTCTATCAAATGTCTATGATGTCACAAATGAAGAAATAAAGGTAGATAAAAAGAATAAAATACAGAAAGAAATATAAAACAAGAAGAAGAAGAAAAAGTAATCGTTGTTGAAAAAAAAAATGGATTGGAATTTGACAAGTTATTTATAAAAACTGGTTGGAAACACACATGAATGGTTTTCAATTTTTTTTTTTTCTTCTGGTTGTTGCTCTGCTATTTTTTTTTCTTCTTCTTCTTTAATCCGGCATTGTAATTCTTCACTTTTCTTTTTTTTCTTTTTGTTTTTATTGCCCATATATTCGCCCGAAGCCAGATCACCTCGAGGTGCAAAATATACAACATGGTCATTGAGTCATACTAACTGATTACCTATTCTTTTTTAGTTATTTCAGTTTTAAACTCTCTTTATAGAAGGATCTTCAATTACGGTAATTTGCATAGTCAAAGCAACCATTGTCGGAATCTCGAGGTGGTCGCGTCATTGAAAGTCTCTTAAAAATGAAAAATTAAAATGAGAAAAAAAAAGTTCCGTTCGCCCCACTCGGAATAATAATTTCAGGTCCAATGATCTTTTGCTACAGTTTTGTTTGTTTCTGGCACAAACAGGCCGCCTGAAAGATTTATGGTTGAATTGACACATGAACCTTACTAATTTCGGAATAAACATGGGTCACAGTAAAACACACAATAGTGAGCAATGACAGCCCTGGATATAACAAGCTATTATCTTAGTTGTTTGTGAAAAAAATAAAAAGAAAGAAAAAAAACGGTTTATTATAAACAAACTTCTATCCCTCGAAATTTTTATGTTTGTTTTTCATGAGTTTAAGAACCAATAATCTAAACTCTGCACATATCGAAACTACTAGCGTATGATAAATTGAACTAATTTTTTCTTTTTTTTTTTTTGTATTGGCTTACCAAGCATCTGATAATTTTTTTTTATTTTGCATTTTCTTTTCCCATTCCTCCTTGTGTTTATGATTGGATAGTTGTGAAGGAGAAAAATCTATTACTATAGTAATACACGTCCATAACCTCATCAAGTGCCCCCAATCTTTCTTTATTTTTTTACTTTTCTATTCGAAATGTGATTGGTGTGACTGAGAAATAGTTGATACATGTGTGGGGGCATAATATGGGGTAATATGACCTCATTAATGTTCTTTTTTCTTTTTTAGTAACACTATGAAGAGAGGAGGGGAGGACAAAGCTAAACCATTTATTAATAAAGAACAAAAACTCAGGAGTAATGCAGAAATGCAGATGGTAAGTAAATAATATTTTCTTTTTGTTGTCGACTGTATGAATCTCTTGTAAATAAAAAAAATGTTTTGTTTTACCGAGGTTAAACGTTTCAGTTTTATAGTGACCTCTTGCATTTTCTCTCTCTTCTTAATCTTTTGCTTTGTTCCTTTCATTAGATTCTTTAAAAAGGAAAAAAAAAAGTTCGGGTTTCAACGGTCCAAAATTTAAAAAAATCCTGGGGAATCAGGCTCTAGATTATTATGGGTTTAGTGCTGTTATGCACACTTTGAACTATGGTCAGTTCGGGATATTCGTTTTTGTAAGGCTTTTTCTTACTAACTTCTAAAGCCTTACTAATCTCACACTTCCGACCCTCGGTTAAACCACTCCTTACCCTGTCCTTACTAACTGAATAGAATTTAGTTCTGGTACAAGGAACTGGTTAGTGTTTCGCTACAAAGAGCAAAAGAAAGGTCAATGAATAGAAATGTGAAGGTTTGGAGAAGAAAGCAACTTAGGAATCTGAATTGAGATTAGTATTATCACTTCATTAATAGAAAACAATGCGTATATGCTCTTGCTTTAACTTCCTTGCTTTTCATTTTTTTTCGGTTATTGTTGACATCTGGAACACATCAGCAACTTTAAATATCATGCTTTATCTTTGTTTTTTTGAGTTGTCTTGCTCCTTTACTGAAATCGAACGTTTAAACTTGGAGAAAAGTCTAGTACTTTCAATAGAGAGAGACGACAAATCTCCCCCGCCAATCACCTCTGAATGAAATTGTTCTTTTTCTGGGCACAGTTATTATAGTTCAAGGAAGTCTTCCCTTGTTTAGTTTTGTTTTATTCTTTTTAAACTTGCTGAGTTGGCATTGATTGACCAGTAGTTCTTCACTTCATTACTCTGTGGTGGCTAAAATCGGAGCAAGAATGGTTAAAAATTTACCCGCATACATTTAATATCGATGCATCGCGGGCTGGCCTGGTCAGGTCAGATAATTGCACACCACAATAAGTGCGAGAGAGGGTAATTTCATTTATGGTATTTGGGTACAACAGAATCAGAAACCAAGGAAGAGGTTGTTCATTTGATGTAAAATATTAAGGCGCCATCATAGCTAAAAATCCATCATGTGTGGTGAAAACAATATTATGGTTGTTGCAGTTAATGCAACCTTAATTTCCCTAATTTATACTTCTCCTATAATAGAGTTCTTGCCTTGCATTTCCATCTCTCTTTTCTTTGGCTAACATGAACTTTACTGTAATGCTAGACTAACATGTAATCCCCCATTTCTTCTACTTTTATTTTATTTTTATATTTTTTTGCAAAAATTAGGGTTATTATAGCCGAAAGTTCATCCCAGTGACACTAACCTATGCAAAGTCTTAATATGGGGTGTTGAAGATGCATAAATTTCAAATGCGAATGATTTTATTTATTTATTATATTTCAATCTTTATCATGCAGAGTGAGTGAGTGCTATGGTTGTAACTCTGAATTGCAACAATTTCAATTGTGCTTGATGCGTTATGCATCATATAGTAAATGCATATAGTTTTGCTTATAGACTGTAGCGCGGTACTTAGTCTGTACAAAGTGTTGTTTGCAATTGGCTTAAATGTCGTTCCAAAGCACAATGTTGTCTTGGGTTTAGCGCGTTTTTGACTGTACATTACAATTGTTTACTTTTTGTTTCTTTTCGCAGCTCGATACACCGCTGGTGCTGACCCATCTCACAAATATACACACACACGATGATAAATAGAAAATATAACTGTGTCTAATTGTCATTGTCTTATTCATATCATAGTTAGTTACTTGCATCATCATCATCATCAATATGATATCTAATACTGTAACGATTTTCCAATACCTCACCAATTATAAATCAGGCTTAAGAACTTATTAGAATAAAAGGGCAAACGAAATTTACATTTATTGAGGGGCAACTAACCAAATGCACCAACATAAAAAAAAAATAAAGAAAAACGAACATCCTTAGATAATCTTTGGATTATGATTATTCATTAGGAATCCATTCTTCCCCTCTTTTTTGCATTTGAACTTATCGGGGGATACAAAGAGAGTATTTGGATGTTTCATTAACTCCGAACTCCCTTTTCTCAAGCAATTAAACAAACATACTCACCTGCGTGATTATTGAAACGACATAAGCTTCTTTTTTTTTTCCTTTGTTTGTTTGTGATGGTACACCAAATCTTGCATAAAATGTATAGAGCATCGCAAATACCCTGTGATCTGGATTATTAGTGTTGAATATTTCCGGAGTTCCACCCATTTTCGTCAATTTTCTAAATGTCAGTTTACTTTCATGAAACTTTGCCACCATTTGAAAGTGAAAGAAAAAACGCACGTAGACAATAGTATCCCTGAAGTAGGACGGTGTTCTTCACGGAAAAGGGTACTTGTTTGGAAACGTAGAAAAGGGTTATTTTTGGAATCACAAACACATTGACTGCACAATAACGATTGCAAATTGAACAATGGAAAATAAATAGTGTTTCACAAAGCATTTTAACATGCACTGTTCAGTTTATATTGAAATTATTTACAATATGTGCTCTTCTAGAATTCATACTCTTCCTCTTTCAATACAAAACTTGAGGAGGTGTTAATTCGCAACCAAACAATCTGTACGGTGTAATAATACAAGGTTCGGAATATCACAAACATTATAGAAAATCTAAAGAATAAAAAGAACTATACCAACACAGAAAAATATGGTTTGAGAAAGAACGATGTCTTCAATGCAAATGGATTGATGTCAATTTGATTGCTGATTTAAAAAGACCCAAAACAATCAACTTGCAAAAACTATTGTCCTCATCTCTTTTGTTTTACTAAATTCGTCTAGCTTTCTTCGTGATGTGCAGGTTAAACTTTTTTAAATTTCATGAACATATAAACAAAACTAAATTTTGAAAATGCCATCGCTCAATGCACGGAAATGATACTTCCATTCAATTAGAGATCGCCAAAGTCCATGATATAAAGAAAAAGAAAAAGAAATTGTCAAACTATTCAATTACTTGCTTGATGTCTGAAAACCCTATTTGTGCATGTAATGGAATCATTTTCTATGGCTTCTACTTCATTTAGGATTGTTCAGTCAAAAGTTAACTACCAAGCACAAGTATTAAAATTTTTGCAGTTGTGATTATGTAACCATTACATAATAGTCACGTGCAAAGACTTTTTCTGTTTCTCGTGTCGGTGATTGTGTTGAAGGTATTTTTTTTTTTGCCTCTCTGAAAAATTATAACCAAAAGATCCTTTAAACAGATTACCTTTAGTTCATTTTGTTGCTAAAAAAAAAAAATTAAAAAAAAATCACGTTAGTGAAACTTTTTTTGGAAATATGGAGTCATTGGAACCGCATCATAGAGATAAATTTGAGGAGTTTAAATCAATTACAGGTATAGATAATGATTCACAAGATGAAAAGATTGTTCAATTGTTGACTATCCATGATTTTAATTTAAACAATGCAATTTCAGTATATTTTGATACTGGATTTGATTCTATTGCTAATAGTTCAGGCATAAATGTACATGATCAAGATGATAGTCACTTAACCCACAGACATTCGGATCATTCGTCTGTTCCTCTGATTCCACGACAACCGGAAATGGTTAACTTACAGAATCAAATGTTTTATGATAGTCTTATGCCAAGATTACCCAAGGCACCTATAATTCCTACTGGTTGGCAATTAGAAGTAGGTATTCATACATCAATTATAGAAGATAGGTTAAGAAGAGAAAAGGAAGAACAAAATAAAGAAAAATCAAAGGAAGATATTAATGAAGCAACAGAATCAATACATTCACGTGAAAGCAGTAGTACTAATAGGTCACCACTAAATGCATTATGGATCATCCTATTGATTATCCCGAAAACCATATTGAATGTTGTCTTATCAGCATTTAGGTTTTTATTTGGTTGGGATGTTTTAAAGGTAAGTCTGTCTAAAATTCCTTCATCGTTCAATTATGAAAAATTCATCCCCAATTATAAGTTCTTACCAAAATTACGAGAAGATGACAATAGCAATATGTTGGAAAACTACATTTTCCATGAAGATAATTTCAATGAACTTCATCAAGTGGTTCAGAAGGAATACCGCTGGTTATTGGTTGTATTGGTAAATGATTCTATCGAAAGCAATAATTTCCTTCATGCTTTAGTAAGGCATCCCGATTTTGGTAAATTGTTTAATAAAAACTCTGGTTTATTTAAAGAAACTGAGATATTTGTCAATAACATTGAGAGATCCCCTGAAGCATTCCAAGTGGCCCAAACTTATAAACTGAAAAGAATACCTTATTTAATGTTGATTGGAAATGTATCGGCTAGTCCTGAAATCATGCCGTCTATGTCAACACTATATAAATCAAATTTATCTAGACCATTTATCACTGAAGATGAACTTCCTATTACCACAGCCAAGATTCTTAAAAATTTGTCGAAACTATTAGATAGATTCAATCCACAATTAGTGTCGGCTAGATTTGACAAACAAGAAATGGACATCAGTCGTCAAATCAGAGAAGAACAAGATAGTGCATATTTACGTTCATTGGAACAAGACAAGTTGAAAAAAGAAATCAAAATGCAAGAAGAATATGCCAAAAAAGTGGCTGAACAGAGAGCTAATTTACGTCACTATTATTTGTTGATATTATTGCAAACTAAGTACATTGAAACGAATGTACTTGATGAAGAAAGTGAATTCAAATGCAAGATAGCTTTGAAACTTCCTAATGGTAAAAGAATTGTTGAATTATTCAATGGCGAAATCTCATTACTTGAATTTTACATGTTCATTGAATTGAAATTATTTTTGGAACAGAACCAAGACTTAGATCAAGAACATATTAATGATCTAATTGATAATTTGGACCTTGATGACGTCACTAAGGAATCAATTCAAGATATAAAAGATTACTATGATCAATACTCATTCAAGTTTGATATTATTCAACCTTACCCTAAGAAAGTTATCCATTTGGAAGACTATGACAAATGTATTAAAGATATTTCTGAGTTCAGTAAAGGGGCTAACTTCTTAGTTGAATATAACGATGATGAGGAAGATGAAGATGAGGAGGACGAGGAATCAGACTAGTGGGGATGTAGGTTTTCAAATACATAATAATTTATATATTGCATTCTAATTACGAGAAGAACCCAAAGTCGTGTAAGCAGTGATTATTTTTTTTTTTTTCCTTTTTTTTCTAGGCGCGCATAATCACTGGAATGTGTTGTTGTAGTTGTTGTACGTTTTCTCCTTTATCCATTTGCTGTTGTTGTTGTTGTTGCTCACCTTTTGTTTCCCCTTTTCCCTGTTCCCTTTTGTTTTCTGGTTTTCCAATCCTTTGTTTGTTTGAACACGCACTCACTCACTCACTCACTCACACAAAATTTAATTAATTGATTAATTAGTTACTTGGTGTTTTCTTGTTCCTATTTACTATTTTTTTTTTTTTTTACTTTATTCATAGTTATATATATACTACTTAGTACAGATTTATCAATATTATCAATCATGGCTAGTCGTGAATCTAGATTAGAAGCAGAGAAATTGGCTATTATTCAGAAGTCCATGACCAGGGGAAGATCGTCTTCCCCAGGTAGAGGTTCCCATTCACGTTCATCATCAATAAATCCAGATGATTATGATAAAGATTTAAAATGGTCTATAACTAATCATGACCCTCTGGAAAGAATAGTTAACTTGTCTAAGCAAGAAGGAAATAATGAAACATGGGAGAATGAATTAAGTGAAGAAGAACATATAAGTGATGACGATAGTAATGAGAAATTTCAATATGATGATACTGGTAATATTTTACCAAACTATGCTTGTCAAGATGAAAAAATTAATGAGATTAGTAATATTTTGGAAAATTCCAATTTGAATGATAATGCCACAATTAAACGTTTAGAAGAATTGACAGCAAGTGAAAGAGCCATGGCTGCTGCTAGAAAAGCTGGAAGTAAAATTGACCAAGAAGTATTAAATAAATTGGCTAATGACAAGCAGAAATTAATTGGTGCTAATTTGAATTTAGATGAGACTAACCAAGATGCATTTTCAAGAAGACAAAAATTGGAAAATTATCAGGCTTATAGAAAGAAGATTATTGACCAAGAAAATGGAATTAGAAACGGTTCGGCGTCACCAACAAGACATGAAGATGGAGTCAGTCCAGAAGGAGGAGATGCATTTATGGCACCTTATACATCTGCAGTTGAAGATAAATTAGATAGTGAATTTGCATCCCAGTTGAATGAAACTATACAGGAAGGTCCAGTGGATTCAAACAAATCACATTCAAGAGTGATTCAAACAATAACAAGAGGTAATTTCTTTCAATTGGTTAACCCTAAAGTTAAACCAAAGATGTTTTTATTATGTATGGACTTTTCTCCTGAGTCTATTTTTGCATTAGAATGGAGTTTAGGAACTGTTTTAGTAGATGGTTCTGTTTTATTTATTGTCTGTGTTATTGAAGATAATGATACCAACCATCATTTGAAAGGAAACACCACCAATGAAAATTCTCGTGAACAAACCAGATTGAACATGTTGAACAAAGCCAAGCATCAAGTATTGAACTTGTTGAAATTAACCAAGTTGCAAATCCATATAGTAATTGAAATCATCCATCATCCAATTCCAAGACACTTGATTTTAGAATTTATTGATAATTTACAACCAACTTTAGTTATTGTTGGTTCTAAAGGTCAAAGTGCTATCAAAGGGGTATTATTGGGTTCATTATCAAACTATTTGGTTACTAAGCTGACAGTACCGGTCATGGTTGTTCGTGAGAAATTAAAGAAGATCAACCGTTTCAAGTCAGGTTCATCTGTATTCTCTAACAATATCAAACCATTGACTTTATCTGAAGCTAGAATTGATTAGAAGAAAATAGAGGAAATAATTCATTTCTATTGTGCATTTATAATTCTTTACGTAGTTTTTTATATGTTTGCTTACTTTGCTTTTTTATGTATATATACTCCTTATATATACGACGTTAGATTTTTTTTTTTTACTATTATTTTTACACTTTATATGTTTCTGTATTATCACTATACCTTGTTTTAAATCCTATTATACACTTAAAGAAAAACTCTTATTTATCTCTGCAGTAAAATCATCAATTTACTTATACCCACTAATATCACGCATCTATTTCTTAATACCACTTCTCATGTATCTACCGACAACAATACAATGGTCTCTTTCATAAGGTTCTAAGGTCAATTGTTCTAATGGTTTAATTCTTTCTTCTCTCAATTTTTGGACTTCTCTGGCGAAAACAGTTTCAGCATCAACAGTAGAATCAATACAGTTGGCTTTGATAGAAATAACAACTAAACCACCATCTTTCAAGAACAAATGGGAGTTCAAAGCAATAATTCTGGCTTGATCTGGTTGGGCAACATCAGCAAACACACAATCAACCATACCTAACAACATTCTGTATTTTTGTGGGTGTCTAGCATCATCAATGATTGGAATAACATTTGGTCTCTTTTTAGCCATACCAATCAATTCTCTACCTGGACGATGAGAGAATTCAACAGCATAGACAACACCTTCTGGACCAACAACATCAGCAACATGGGAAACAGAAGTACCGGAAGCGGCACCCAAGTACAAAACTTTTTTACCTGGAGCAATACCTAATTCATCAATACCACCCATAATACCAGCAGCCAATTTAGATCTGAAAGGATTCCAAACACGGTATTCAATCTTGGTTGGAGCAGCTCCTTCTTCTTTAGCTGGTTCTTCGACAGAAATTCTCTTTTCACCATAAACAGATTCACCAGGAGCAATGTTCTTGGTAACTAATAAATCTTCTTTACCTCTGGCAATGAAAACACCAGCATGTCTATGTGGTTCAATAATAACTTTGGCACCACCTTTAGCACCTCCTCTGGCACCACCTCTTCCACCTCTGGCACCTCCTCTAGATCCACCTCTTGGACCACCTCTTCCACCTCTGGCACCTCCTCTAGCGCCACCGAATCCACCACGGCCACCTCTGGCACCTCCTCTTCCACCTCTGGAAGCACCGCCGAATCCACCACGGCCACCTCTTGATGATCCACCTCTACCTCTTGGAGCTCCGAATGCCATTATGTATCAATAGTTGTATATATATATATATATGTAGTAGTTAGTTTTTTATAATGAATAAAATAAAAACTAATTGCTTAATTCAAAAACGAAATGGTGAAAAATTAATAAAAGTAAGAATTTTTTTTTTTTTTGGGAGATGGGATTCTGTGGAAAAAAAAAATTTTTCTTTGTTCATTTGATGAGCGATTTGTTGCTCTTGTATTGGTGTGAGGGTGTTATCACGTGAGACCAAATTGAACCTTGCGTTTTTCAAATATTGATGATATAGATGTGTTATTCATGGATTATGGTGCCTATAGTTCAGTTATTGATATTAAAAGTGTATAAACTGTTAAATTATAGGTAAAATATCTTTTTTATGTAAAAATTTTGAAATTTATATCTTTCTTAAGCACCTTAATTGTGTGTTAAAGGTGTGTTTATTATAAATTTTATCAAATATTACCATTTACTCCATAATCTGTTAGTAATACCTTTCTAATTATTTGATATTTATATAAATAGGATTCTATTATATACAATTCTTAAACAATATCATATTTGTTGCTAACAAAATTAGGGTGTATTTGAAGATTTCATCATATAGTAGAGATGCCCATCGTGCGGCTCAGAAATTCACGTGAGTAAAAGTATGGGGAAATTATATATAAAAAAAAACACATAAAAAACACCAACTTTAAAACCCCACAAGTTAATTTGAGAAATAAAATGAAAACTATTTAGAGTACAAAATGATTAATTTGATTATTGATGATAATAGAATTCGGATTTATGGTTGTTATTAGATGTATATGTTCTTATTATGATTCCATGTTAACTGTAAAGGTGTTATTCATAGGTGGTAACAATGGAATACATTCAATTATGAATTCGTTTATAAAATCAGATATATTCAAGTCATCTAGGTCAGTTATTCTTATAGTATTTGTAGTACTTGTTATCAGACAAATATGAAAGAATAGGTGTTTAAACATCAAATGAGTGATATTATGAGTTGTCGTGGTAGATGGTCTCAGATTGATTAAAACAGCCAAAGTATTATTAAAACTCTTCAAATGTGAACTTGGAGAAATGGTGTTTTCATTATTCTTTTGGCATTGGTATTATTATTCTTAACTGGTAGCATTTCTATGACATTGGTCGTGTGCATGTGCAAACACCAATTTTTCGCCAACTGTAGTATCTGAAAGAGCACGAAAAGGAAAAAAAAAAAGAGAACGAACAAAGAATAAGTATTGTTCGCCACCACTTGAACTGTTTCAAACTATCCATTTTTCTTATTTACATAATACATATACAACAATGGTATGTTATCACAAGTAATCTTCATTGGTAAATTCAAGTTCAAATATTTACTAACATTGATTATATATAGTCATTAAGAGCTGTTCCCAACGAACAAAAAGAATCAACTGTTAACAGTACTAAATTTGGTCAACCAGCAGAACATGCACCAGGTTTGCAAGATAGCTTAAGAACACAAGAAGGTCCGTTAAATATAGCATCAAAGATAAATAATCGTCATCCATTGGAATCAAGAGTAAACAATTGGGAAAAAACTCAAGAAGAAAATAGAATGGAGTCTTATAGACGTATATTTGGTGCTGGTGCTCCAATTAAAAGAACGATGGATTTAGAAATAGTTGAAGCTACTTCCTTTAGACCAAGTTTATTGGGAGGTGTTGATTCTATGCATAAAGATATCTTGATGAATAAAGATGCAAGTGTTGATTGGGAAGATGTATACCCAGGTGGATTCAGTAATGGTGATAATGTGAAAGATTTCCACAGTGAAATGGAAAGACAAATGGGAATTTAACGGTAAGTAAAGATATTATTGAATTTAATATACTTTAGAATAACGAATGATTGCAATAAATTGTAGATTTTGAAGTATATCAAATCGATATACAGTTGATGTAATTTGACAACCCCAGTCATAATGGATCAGATAAACTGAACATTGTAGTATATTGATTTCTTTTAATAACTAGAATAGTTTAATTCAGAGTACTTCTAATAGATGACCAGGGATAGTTATTAATCATTCTGGGCGTGTTTTGTGCTATATATATATATCATGTACTGTAGTTACTCGGAATTACATGTAAATCGCTACAAAAATTGGAGCAATGAAAAATACTGAGACGTGTATGTGAGAACAGAAAAAAGAAAATTGTGAATCAAATTTACAAGCCATTGATTTATACTGTACAAAATGCGTTGTACTGTAGTTGTAGTATGGGAGATGGCACGCATTTTTTATTAGCAGGTTTCTCAATGGAGCAAAAGAAAAAGAAGAAAATTTTTCTTCCTCTATTTTTTTTTTTTTTTTTCCATTTTTCAAAACCTGACTTCTTGCATTCAAGTCACCAACGAAAAAACGACCCAACTTCAACTTAAAAGAAAGTAAACCAAATAATAATAATAAAAAAAAATTTTTTTTATAAAACCCCAGGCAAGCAACTCCTATCATTTCATCTTCAATTTAACAATGTACTCAAGAACCCGTAAATCACAAGAAACCCCTGATAATGGGAATATCGACGATAATAGTACTTATAGTCAACAGTTTTCTCACAGTAATCAACATCATCACCACCATCATCATCATCACCATCACCACCATAACCAACATCATCACACGAATACCATTCCAGCTAACAAAGATGGTAAACGTTATACAATGAATGAGGTGTTCCAAGTCTGGTATGATAATAAAGACCAGATTTTAAATACTGAAGTGCCAGTCAGTTCTGATGAGCCATACAAGTTGTCAAAACCAGAACAGATTTACCATTTAGATTTGCAATCAAATTCAAAGGAAAATGATGAGTTACCTAAGGAAACTACTAAAGAAGTGACTGAATCGTTAGATAAACTTGCCATTGGTGGAGATTCGGAAATTGAGAATGTTACCCAAGGTAGTGGCATTGCATCTATCCAAACTACTGCAACCGATCAACCAGGTACTGGTACCGGGACTGGCATTGGCACTGGCACTGGAACTGGCACTGGAACTATCCCGTCATCAATTGGACAAGCTCCTCCTGGAATTGACCCATTACCAAAAGATCTTCCAAGTGTTGAATCCAAGTTTAGACCGCTTGTTACTTCTGATAAAATTGAATGGTTTTACATCGATCCGTCAGGTAATGAGCAAGGTCCATTCAATGGGGATATGATGCAAGAATGGCTTGCTGGAGGGTACTTGAATCTTGACTTACAGATCAGAAGGAAGGAAGAGAATGGGTTCAAGACTTTGAGAGAATTGTGTGAAAGTTTACTGAACTATGTTACTCCTTTCAAGATTCCATTACCAGATTTGACTACAGTCAATAACAGCGGAAGTCAATTTTTCCCTAATGATTTGCTGAGCAACAATTTCCCACCATTCCAATCAAATTTGTTGTCCTCATTGACTGGTAATGTTTCCCATAGTAACATGTCTCAAGGAAATTTGTCTCAGACTAATTTGTTTGGTAACGACTTTATGAAATCTGATCCATTCTCCACTACTTCATTGGCACTGGTTAATCAAACCACTACTCAAGGCTTCGGTAGCGCAACCGCTTTTGGAATTGACACTTTCAATCAACAGCCGTCTACCGGATTAGATGCATTCAATCATAACTTGAGCTTCCCATCCATGCCATCCATCTTGCAACAACAAATTCATCAACAACAGCAACCAACATTATCCAGGGTTAATAGTGGCTGGGGTGTAGATACTGCTGCATCCTCTATTTTGCAATCAAACAGTAATCCTCAAACTCCAATTGGCGGACATCCTTCATTACCAAGCCAAATCAGTCAACCAGTTCCAAATTCCCCTTGGTTACCTAGTGCTGTTGTTCAATCTCATTCCCGTGTGAGTTCTCCATTTACTTCCACCACCAACTTAAATTTGGTTGGTCAAGAGCCATTGGCTGTTCAGCACGATGCTGAAATTACAGGAGGTGTCACTTCCATTCCTGGATCTTCTATTACTGCTATTTCTGGAGACATCGCTCCTCCACTCGAAGATCCAGTATTAGAGGAAATCCACAATTCTGTTGTGACTGACTTTTTAAGTGATGAAGAACCGAAACACGTTGAATCACGTAATAAGCATATTCCATCTGATGTTGCATCTCCACCCGAAACTGCTGCTGAAGAGCAAACATCTCAAACTAAAGCTATTGAAGAAAAAGAAGTTGAAAATGCTGCTAAACCAGTTAACTTGAAACCATCTGCTCCTCCAGCTTTAGCACCATGGGCTGCTCCAAAACAAACAGCCCAAAAACCTGCATTGACTTTGAAAGAAATTCAAAGAATTGAAGCTGAGAAATTGGCTGAACAAAAGAAAATTGAAGCCCAGATTAAGAGCGAACAGGCTGCTAAAGCTTGGGCAACTGCTGCTGCTGCTGAGAAACAAGCCAAGGCAGAAAAGGCATCTGCTGTTTTACCGTCTACTTGGGGTAGTACCACTGTTGCTCCAGTTACTAAAACTTTAGCTGAAATTCAAAAAGAAGAAGCTGAGCGCGCTAAAGCCAAATTAGCTGCTGCTGCTGCTGCTGCTGCTTCTACTTCTGCCGTTGGTTCCGTAAATGCTGCAACTAAGCTCGGTTCATCAAACGCTTCTTTTGCCAGTGCAGTTGCTAATTCTGTTCCAAGAGATGATGGACCAGCCTGGACCACTGTGGCTTCTAAAAAACAACCATCAACCCCAGTCACCAAAAAATCGACTATTAATGTCGCTACCACATCAGCTTCTAAGACTACTCCTCAATTGTTACGTTCTGTTTCTGCAAACAAGCAAAACACTACTTCTGTTAATGCACAAGGTGTAAGAGAAGATTTCTTGGTCTGGGCTAGATCAAACATGACTAGTTTGTATCCTACTGTTTCTAAAGAAGATTTATTGGATATTTTCATCACTTTGCCTCCAAATTCATCAGATTCTGCATCATTAATTGCTGAAACCATTTATAGTTCATCAGCTACTATGGATGGTAGAAGATTTGCACAAGAATTTTTGAAAAGAAGACAGAAAGTCGATCAACAAATTGGAGGTGGTGACCATGTTTCTTGGTCCGCTGCTATTATTTCTTCTGCTGACAAAGTTCCAACTGTTGATGAAGATGGTTGGAGTACCAGTCTGAAATCTAAAAAGAAGAATAATAGAAGAAATTAAATACATTTTATAAGTGCAAGTTCCTCTTTGTGAATAGGATGGTTGTAAAATATAGGAAAATAATATTAACAGAATAAAAAACAATAATAAAAAATAAAAAAAAAAAAAGAATGCTATCTTTAAACATATTTACAATACTCAAATCTATTTGATTTACTTTCTTTTTTAAGTAGATTTTAAAATTTCACCTACTACTCCGATATTTTCTTTGGGTATCATTATAACCCCAGATCTAGCCATTGATAAATAATATAAAAGTCCTGTGTCACTAAGTTTACTTGCTAATCCAGCAACAATCCCAGTGGAGTTTATCTCCAATTTAGATAAATCAATACTAATAGGGATAATTGTATCCAGAAGAGATCCCATAATATAGGGAGACTCAAAACCTAATTGTGATCTTAGTTTTCTTGATCTTGGTAAAAGTAATGAACACTGAGTGTCAGCTTTAGTTATTCCAAAAAACGATGGTATACAATTTGTTGCTGATAGGATCTTGCAAGCTTTAAGAATAGTATTATGGATATCACACGTTCGAGACCCTGTAAGTAATAGTGGATTTCTGTAGTTGATCACAGGTTTAATTCCTTCTTCGTGAAACATTTGAAAAGTCTGTTTTTCTAACAACTGGGATCCCTGTTCAAAATTAAATTCAGTACCAATTGGTGATGATCCCCATGCCGGGATATAACTATTTGAAATATCCAGAAATTCGAAATTCTTTCTTCTCAATATGCTAACCACCCTATCTTTCAAGACATAAGGAATTAAAACAACATTGTTGAAATAACTTGAAATAAAGAATAAAGAAATATTATTCTCTGATAATGGTTTAGTCAATTCTAAAATCCTCCATGAAGCATCTGTATCACCATCAGAATCAACACATAAACTCAAGTAGGTTTCTGGTAATAATTGTACGTCTTTGTAATTCAATTGGGAACATACCTCAACTGCTTGCAGGAAACATTGATTCATAAGCTTTTGGGAACAAATGACAGTACATTCTTCAGGAGTTAAGGCAATGTGGAAAAAATTATCTTCATCAGATTCTTCTTCTGGTGGAGTAGGTGGAGTTTGAGGGCATAGTTTACTTGAATTATCAACTGCACCTTTTGTGAGAAAATCACTATCTGTAAATGTGTTACTACCACTACCACTACCACAACTACTATATTCATTAAGTTCATCATCTTCACTGATATCATTATCATCCGCAAATTCACTGGATCCACCTGATTTGATCTCGATAGACTTGTATAGTAGTTGCTGGATAGAACTGACAAATATCCAATACTTATCTCTAGATATCGATAGTATGGATAATCTTGTAGGGTTAAGATGGATTTCAGTACTCATGACTAATAGCTAAATCGTTCACAATATTGGATGGTTTTCCCTAATAGAGATATCAAAAAAAAGGGGAAGAAGCGAGCTTTAATAGTGAAAAAAAAAAAAAAAATAACGCTAAAAATATTTGAATTAAATATAAGGGATGAAACAAAATAAAATAATAATAAGAGAAAAAGAGGAGTATTACATATGTACCAATTCAGATTGTCAAGTAATAAACAATACATACATTATATTTAACCTGTACTATCTTGGTCTCCCGCAAATAATGAGTAATTTATGCCACTATTTCTCAAGATAAATAATGTGGAGAATGCAAAATGAGTAACCCACAACGCACAAAGAAAAAAAAAAAATCTAACCATTTCTACCTGAGTCACACACATCCATTATCTGTAAAAATTAATAGTAATTGCAATTAATTGATAGCCATCACCAAGTAAATATCACCTAGATTATAAATGATTTAAATATTATGATACTTATTAAATAGCGACGCCTTATACCTTGCCTAAAAGAATGAATGCATAGTAAATAACTACTATGCTTTTTGGTAACCAACCCCGAACTCATTAATGAATTGAAATTTTCAGGTAAACGTACATATTCTTATAATTTTAAAAATGAAGAAGTGAAGGAGATGATGAATTAGAAGGTATTGTGCAATTGTGGTTGAATAAACAACCTCAAAAAGTAGCCATTGTAAATCATATATCTATACAATTTCTATGTACACGTTGGCTTGACGATCAATGAATGTCTTAATGTTATTTCCTTTTTTTTTTGTTTAATCTATTGTTATCTTTTTAACAATGCGGATTTGCAATGAAAACGAATAAAAAAAAAAGGAGAAGAATTCAATTCAATTAATCATCTAACCAAACTGAGGCAATGATTAACAGATTTCATCATCTAGTTATCATTCCGAGATAAGACTAAGTTTCTCTGCAATAGAAAACAAAAAGTAAGTCACAATACATTACAAGCTAAAAAAAAAAGACAAAATGATTAATCCTATGAAAATAAAAGTTTACCAAAGGTGGAAAACGGATCATAAACTGCGAAACTTTTCCAATTGAAATGCTAGATATCCCCTAATTTCTGCCTTTCATAAAATGTTTCATATAATTCAATAGCTTCTTTCTGCGCTTCAATAGCACTTTCGATAAATATCTCCACGCTGTTTCTGAAATCGTCAATTCTTTCATATTCAAAAGTTTCCAACTCTACTTTGATAGTATCACTAATCTTCTTAAAGCTCTGTTCATACGCTTCAGTCCTTTGTTTCAATTTATCTACCTCAAAGTTAAGCTGTTTAATCTTATCAACCTGTTGTTGTTTGCGAGTCAATTTGTCTAATTGACTCTGCTTCTTATTCAACTCTTGAGTAAAGTTATTCAACTGTTGATAAACATTTAATCTGGTATCGAAAACAAAATTTATTGAACCAATAGTCCGGAGATATTCTTCAATAGTAAATCCAAGAGTTAAATGGTCTTGCAAATTTATTCTATCAAGATTGTCCTTTATCTTCAGTTCAACTTCACTGAAGGCAGATAAGAGGTCACTAGTAACTTTCGAAATCTCCAAACCTGATAATTCATCCATTGTAGTTGATATTTCATCCAAAATTCCAATCATGTCCATTCTTTGTTGACCAATGAGTTCAATAGTTTTATAAAATTGTTTCAAGTTATACTCTAAATCATCAATGTACTGTTTCTTTGCAATAAAATACTGATCTGGTTCTGTGACCTTAGTAGACATGGAAAATAAGGAACTCATGAATCCACTTGAAGCACCGGACGCAGCTGCTGCCGCAGAAGTAACAGCAAGATCTTCGCTTCTGTCAAGATATTCACTATTTTGAGCAGAAGCTCCAGAACCAGATACTCTTTCCCTCTCCTTTGACTCATTCGCAAAATCCTCACTTGTCAAAAACATCACAAAGTCTGAATCGTTGGCCAATACTGAAATATTGCAAATTTTATTCAACATTTTTTCCAAGGACAACCGTCTATTCTCAATAAAATTTTCATTAAATCTTCCAATGTAGGTCTGTTTAGATGGTGGTGGCGGAATAATTCTTCCTGGATGATTATTCTGTAATTGATGATATATCCATCTGAAATCCTTGTATCTTCTAGTAACCTCGGTTGTTTCAGTAGCTGGAAAATAATTTGACTCCAAGTTCTTATTTTTAGTTTTGATTGTATAGACTATATGAACTGTGGTGATATCCCCGACTTTCATTGGATCTCCGACAGCTATTTCCAATTTATTTGCGTGTGGGTCAGATTGTTGATTAGACCCTTTTTGCTTCTTACTAACTGTCTCTTTATCCAGTTGACTATCATCCTTGTTATCTATCTCATAAAGTGGTGCCTCTGTCTCTTTAGCGATTGCCTCAGACGCTGTAGTTGAATTTGACTGTGCTGCTTTCAATTGTGATGTTCCCTCGCTAGTTGTTTCTATACTTAATGGACCCAACAGATTTGAGTTATTTTCATCCATATGTTGTACATTAACTTTAGCACTAAACTTTCTTGGACGTGTAGCCTTGAACTTTGTAGATTTTACTGTTGTTGGTCGACTTGGTGATTTCATATCTCCTCTTGATTTGGAGATTCTCAATGGCGAAGCCCCTTTATCATTGAACAATGAATCAGATGCTAAAAGTTTTTCAGGTGATTTAACAAGTGAAGATTCCAAAATATCACTATCATCAATACCACTAGTCAATTCTGATAAAATTTGAGTGGAATGTTCTTTATTTTCCTCCTTTTTTAATTCTTTGGCTTGTTCACCAACGGCGTCGTACTCAGACTGTTGTGACCTACTAACATCATCAATATCTGCCGGTGTTTCTTCTTCGTCTTCTTCTTCCTTCTCGTCTTCTTCGTACGTATCATTATTATCAGTATCTCGTTCGTTACCAAAACCTAATGGACTTGCAAAAGGATCTTCGATAGTGAGAGAATTAAATTGATTTGACAAAGGCGAAACAATTGAATGATGCAAGGAGGATGTAGTTCGTGTGGTTGAATAGTCATCCTTGTTATCATTCGGTGATACAGCATCATCCCATACTGATCCAGTTAAATCATCGTTATCCATAATGTTAAATCCAATACTTGTGATATTATGTTACTTGACTCTAAATCGAACCTTAACCAATCTCTCACTCTCGTCCTTTTTCTCTTTTTTTCGTGTCAATGTAATAAATGCTTGCATTTTTATTTTCTTTTGCCCACTGAACAACTCAAAAGAAAAAGAAAAACAAAAATCACCGATTTTGCAAACTGTACACGACTGGTTAAATACATATAGCCAGTTTGTGAATCGAACTCAGTGTAATGTATTCAAGGTAAAAAATAATACTCTGTCAAGCGCGTAGTGCATTCAACGTGGCCAAAAAGATTGGTTTCGGAAAACTTTGAAAGTTACCGAGGTAGCACATCTGTTAAAAAATGATTTTTTGGACGTGTACAACTCAAAATATTGAAATTTACATATTGTTATGGAGCGATGAAACAAAGCTGAATTCAGTTCCAAGACGTTTTTTTTATTCCTATAGTTTAATATCAATGTATAGAACCTAAAATTACTAAGGTGAAGATAGTGTTGAAGAAGTTGGTGAATATTTTTTGGGAGTAAAAGTGTTGCAAGATTTTACTTGAAACATTTTGTAAAATTCTCAAGAAATTTCTCTTCTTTATCAAATTTTGTAAACAACCTAGTTTAATCAATCCATACTATTTCTACATATTCTATAAAGTTGATTCTTACCACAATATACCTAAAATTACAATTAATACATATTACTTAACAATACTCGTTGTTTACTCCCAACTCAATTATTACTGAACATCTGCACGACCACAAGGATCTTGCAACCGCGCAATATATTTTAGAAAAAAACAACATAGATTTCCCAAACTACAAAGACGTTTAACATGACCAGTTTGCAACCTTTTGTTTACCTTTTCTTATTTCTTATTTGCTTATACAAAGAAATACCCTTCTTTTTTTTACAACACATTCATTCACTCCTTAGAAAAAAAAAAGTATAAATAGAGGCTGTTATTCCCTTGAGTTTATTATCGGTTTCAAGTTTTTCATTGCTGTAGAAAAATTTACTTAATCTCTTAGTCAAGCTGAAAATGAAACTCAATTTTTTATTTGTTACTTTCTTGTGCTTTATTTCCCCAGTTTTTAGTTGTTTATACAATGTTTATTTGTATGTCAAGTCCAACGATAAAGATGTTAATGGGGATTGGTTGTATCCTGTTCGTGAAGGTAAAGGTATCAATTACTTTTTCTTGGGTTCACAGAACCGTGCCAAAAAGTTAATTTATGACGACAAGAATAAGTATATCTATGAACAAGTTGATTCTCACACAAGATGGTATTATCTTATTAATAAGAATATTTTGCAGTTGTCCGGAGGTAAACCTTACAAAGTAAATATTAAAAATGATGGTGAATTAGACTTTGGTGGTGATGATAATTTATGGGCTGTTAAAAATATAAAGGATCCAGCTAACCATTCAAAGAATAATTACGCTATAGTATATTACAAGAATAGAAAAGATGTCCCGAAAGGTGCAAAGAAAGTCAAGGTTTATGCCAAAAAAGCCTAGTTTTTAGTTGTGGGCCATAACCCAAAAAAAAAAAAAAAAAAGAAAGTTGATATACATATTTGTTTTGGATTTATATACGTGAACTTGTTAAATATATTGGTATCTACTTTCAAGAAGCCAAAGAGTTACTCTTATTCATTTCTAGTGAAATTGATAAATGCCAATCTTGTTTACTATAAATCACATGAACAATCTACTGCATTAGCTATTTGAAAAGAAAAATACCACCCAACAGATGCTACACTAATATAATACAATAATCCAGATAAAACCACTCTCTTTTATTTGACTACCTAAGCACTTAAAGGAACATTTATTATCAAGAATATAGCTTTTTCTAACAATTTAAATTTCAGCTCAACAAGTTTTCTCATTTACTAAATGTACATGTACAAACTTTAAAGAAAATAATAACATATATATTCAAGAATATATCGTAACCGAAACAAGAAAAGTAAAAATACTAACAAAATTATTTAGTAAATAATACAGAAAATTAAAAAAAAAAAGATAAACTTGGTATCAATTGAGTAGCAATACGCCATAACAATCACGAAAAAAATAATGGGAACCAGACGAAATAAGGAAAATTAACACAAGGGCAAAAGTCACTCAAATAATGAATGAAAACAACGAAAACAAAATAATTGAAAAAGTTGATACAACAGTGACTGAACCAATACCTTCATATGTAGAAATAGCTATAGAATGAGATGATATAGAGGTTGTTTCTTGTATCAACGTGAAAGAAGACATAGTTGTATCAGTAGATCCAGGAGTAGACCCAGTGCCAGGAGTAACAGTAGATCCAGGAGTAACGGTAGATCCAGGAGTAGACCCAGTGCCAGGAGTAGAAGCAGTGCCAGGAGTGACAGTAGATCCAGGAGTAGAAGCAGTACCAGGAGTAGACCCAGTGCCAGGAGTAGAAGCAGTATCAGGAGTAGAAGCAGTACCAGGAGTAGACCCAGTGCCAGGAGTAACGGTAGATCCAGGAGTAGAAGCAGTGCCAGGAGTGACAGCAGTTCCAGGAGTAGAAGCAGTACCAGGAGTAGAAGCAGTACCAGGAGTAGAAGCAGTACCAGGAGTAGAAGCAGTACCAGGAGTAGAAGCAACACCAGGAGTAGACCCAGTGCCAGGAGTAGAAGCAGTATCAGGAGTAGACCCAGTGCCAGGAGTAGAAGCAACACCAGGAGTAGACCCAGTGCCAGGAGTAACGGTAGATCCAGGAGTAGAAGCAGTGCCAGGAGTGACAGCAGTTCCAGGAGTAGAAGCAGTACCAGGAGTAGACCCAGTGCCAGGAGTAACGGTAGATCCAGGAGTAGAAGCAGTGCCAGGAGTAGAAGCAACACCAGGAGTAGACCCAGTGCCAGGAGTAGAAGCAACACCAGGAGTAGACCCAGTGCCAGGAGTAGAAGCAACACCAGGAGTAGACCCAGTGCCAGGAGTAGACCCAGTGCCAGGAGTAACGGTAGATCCAGGAGTAGAAGCAGTGCCAGGAGTAACGGTAGATCCAGGAGTAGAAGCAGTACCAGGAGTAACGGTAGATTTATAAGAGAGTATAGAATCAGAAGACAAAGTGTCTGTTTTTATGGATGATGAAGTCAAAGTCGAAATTGAGGATACCTTGCTCACAGTATCAGTATTAGTATCAGTTGGCTTATTAGTGTCAATTCCAGTTTCCGAATTTCTTGGTGTTCCTGTAGATAACCCAGTTTCAGTATCGAGTGTTGAGGAAGAAGATTTATCAGTTGAAAATGGAGAGTTTTCAGAGGATGATGTACCTGGTACCGAATTATGTGGAATGGTAGAATTAGACCAGTATGGTCTTGATGACGACTCAAGTGAACTTGAATAAATAGCTGATGAGAATGACAATGTTGGGTATGATGACTCAGTGGTAGATTCAACAGTAGTCTCAGTAGATTCAGTAGATTCAACAGTAGTCTCAGTAGATTCAGTAGATTCAACAGTCGACTCAGAGAACTCAGTAGATTCAACAATAGATTCAGTGGACTCAGTGTACTCAGTGGACTCAGTAGATTCAACAGTGGACTCAGTAGATTCAACAGTGGACTCAGTGTACTCAGTAGATTCAACAATAGATTCAGTGGACTCAGTAGATTCAACAGTGGACTCAGTAGATTCAACAGTGGACTCAGTGGACTCAGTAGATTCAACAGTGGACTCAGTGTACTCAGTAGATTCAACAATAGATTCAGTGGACTCAGTAGATTCAACAGTGGACTCAGTAGATTCAACAGTGGACTCAGTAGATTCAACAGTGGACTCAGTGGACTCAGTAGATTCAACAGTAGACTCAGAGTACTCAGTGGACTCAGTAGATTCAACAGTGGACTCAGAGTCCTCAGTAGATTCAACAGTAGATTCAGTGGACTCAGTAGATTCAGAGGAATCAGTGGCCTCAGTAGATTCAACAGTAGACTCAGTGGACTCAGTAGACTCAGAGTACTCAGTGGACTCAGTAGATTCAACAGTAGACTCAGAGTACTCAGTGGACTCAGTAGATTCAACAGTGGACTCAGTGGACTCAGTAGATTCAACAGTAGACTCAGAGTAATCAGTGGACTCAGTAGATTCAACAGTGGACTCAGAGTGCTCAGTAGATTCAACAGTAGATTCAGTGGACTCAGTAGATTCAGAGGACTCAGTGGACTCAGTAGATTCAACAGTAGACTCAGTGGACTCAGTAGATTCAGTGGACTCAACAGTGGACTCAGTGGACTCAGTAGATTCAACAGTGGACTCAGTAGATTCAACAGTGGACTCAGTAGATTCAACAGTGGACTCAGAGTACTCAGTAGATTCAACAATAGATTCAGTGGACTCAGTAGATTCAGTAGATTCAACAATAGATTCAGAGGACTCAGTAGATTCAGTAGATTCAACAATAGATTCAGTGGACTCAGTGGACTCAGTGGACTCAGTAGATTCCACAATAGATTCAACAATAGATTCAGTGGACTCAGTAGATTCAACAGTGGACTCAGTGGACTCAGTAGATTCCACAGTAGATTCAACAATAGATTCAGTGGACTCAGTAGATTCAACAGTGGACTCAGAGTGCTCAGTAGATTCAACAGTAGATTCAGTGGACTCAGTAGATTCAGAGGACTCAGTGGACTCAGTAGATTCAACAGTAGACTCAGTAGTGGATTCAATATCAACGATAACAACGGTATCAGTACCACCCGGTGGGTTGGTATACGTTATTGTAGTTTCAACAGATCCATACTCGGTGGTGGTGACCGTTGGATTTGGTGGGTCGATAATTACCACAGTGTCCGTACCACCTGGTGGGTTGGTGTAGGTGATGGTGGTTGGTTCAGAAACAGATCCATACTCGGTGGTGGTGACAGTTGGGTTTGGTGGGTCGATAATTACCACAGTGTCCGTGCCACCTGGTGGGTTGGTGTAGGTGATGGTGGTTGGTTCAGAAACAGATCCATACTCGGTGGTGGTGACCGTTGGATTTGGTGGGTCGATAATTACCACAGTGTCCGTACCACCTGGTGGGTTGGTGTAGGTGATGGTGGTTGGTTCAGAAACAGATCCATACTCGTGGTGGTGACAGTGGATTGTGGGTCGATAATTACCACAGTGTCCGTACCACCTGGTGGGTTGGTGTAGGTGATGGTGGTTGGTTCAGAAACAGATCCATACTCGGTGGTGGTGACCGTTGGGTTTGGTGGGTCGATAATTACCACAGTGTCCGTACCACCTGGTGGGTTGGTGTAGGTGATGGTGGTTGGTTCAGAAACAGATCCATACTCGGTGGTGGTGACCGTTGGATTTGGTGGGTCGATGACTACAACAGTATCAGTACCACCTGGTGGGTTGGTGTAGGTGATGGTGGTTGGTTCAGAAACAGATCCATACTCGGTGGTGGTGACCGTTGGATTTGGTGGGTCGATAATTACCACAGTATCAGTACCACCTGGTGGGTTGGTGTAGGTGATGGTGGTTGGTTCAGAAACAGATCCATACTCGGTGGTGGTGACAGTTGGGTTTGGTGGGTCGATAATTACCACAGTGTCCGTACCACCTGGTGGGTTGGTGTAGGTGATGGTGGTTGGTTCAGAAACAGATCCATACTCGGTGGTGGTGACAGTTGGGTTTGGTGGGTCGATGACAACAACGGTATCAGTACCACCTGGTGGGTTGGTGTAGGTGATGGTGGTTGGTTCAGAAACAGATCCATACTCGGTGGTGGTGACCGTTGGATTTGGTGGGTCGATGACAACAACGGTATCAGTACCACCTGGTGGGTTGGTGTAGGTGATGGTGGTTGGTTCAGAAACAGATCCATACTCGGTGGTGGTGACCGTTGGATTTGGTGGGTCGATAATTACCACAGTGTCCGTACCACCTGGTGGGTTGGTGTAGGTGATGGTGGTTGGTTCAGAAACAGATCCATACTCGGTGGTGGTGACAGTTGGGTTTGGTGGGTCGATAATTACCACAGTGTCCGTACCACCTGGTGGGTTGGTGTAGGTGATGGTGGTTGGTTCAGAAACAGATCCATACTCGGTGGTGGTGACCGTTGGATTTGGTGGGTCGATAATTACCACAGTGTCCGTACCACCTGGTGGGTTGGTGTAGGTGATGGTGGTTGGTTCAGAACAGATCCATACTCGGTGGTGGTGACCGTTGGGATTTGGTGGGTCGATAATTAACACAGTGTTCGGTACTACCTGGTGGGTTGGTGTAGGTGATGGTGGTTTGGTTCAGAAACCAGATTCATACTCGGTGGTGGTGACCGTTGGGTTTGGTGGGTCGATAATTACCACAGTGTCCGTACCACCTGGTGGGTTGGTGTAGGTGATGGTGGTTGGTTCAGAACAGATCCATACTCGGTGGTGGTGACCGTTGGGATTTGGTGGGTCGATAATTAACACAGTGTTCGGTACTACCTGGTGGGTTGGTGTAGGTGATGGTGGTTTGGTTCAGAAAACAGATCCATACTCGGTGGTGGTGACCGT